TAAGATTTAACACACATTGCTTAACACTGACTACAACTTGTCTAAATATTGGCTTTTTCAATTCAAAGGTATAAAAACTTGGAAAAATACCAAAATTTTCATCAATTTTGTCAAATGAATTATGGCATTATATTCTAACAAGTCTCTGGTCCATCATCAAGTTTCAACCAAAATAAAGATGTCTTCAATTCAAAAATATTGGCCTAGATATAAAAACATTTAACACTTCTACAAGAACAACTACAACTCAATCTAATTATAGCTACCGATGTACCAAGTACCCTTAATATTAGGCTTTTAGCACCTATTCCTTGTTCCACATTCCATTAAATCTTGTACCACTGACTCTCACATCCACTTTATCCCATACTACTGACTACCACATCCACTTTAACTAATGCCACTGACTACCACATCCACTTTAACTAATGCCACTGACTACCACATCCACTTTAACTAATGCCATTGACTACCACATCCACTTTAACTAATGCCACTGACTACCACATCCACTTTAACTAATGCCACTGACTGTCAAATCCACTTTAACTAGTACCACTGTGTAGCTCCAACTATAACCTTTACCACCAAACTTTAATAATGCACTTTGAAACTCAACTACAGTGAAACTCTATCTCACTTTACCACTGTGTCACACTAATCCATCAGAAACACTGTGTTACACTCTGATTTTAAAACTATGCCACATCCCCTAAAATATCTACCACTTATATGTAGCAATTACCCACCTTGTATCAATTTGTATCAACAGTTACTTGTACCACTGTGCAACACCAACTAACACTCTTTTTCTTTGTATTTTTAATGTTACCAAGCAAAGAATCAGATAGGAGGCCTCACTGACAAGTGGGAATGGAGTGACACCAGATATTGGTGTGACTTCTCTGTCTACCGTTCACATCTTTCATTTCACATTCAAATAGGAGGATTCTTGGATCATGTTCTTAACAAAGTACAGAGGAAATCATTTAGATGGAAAACATTTCACAGCTTCATGTTTAAACATACACTGTTTATGACAGTAAATCCCTCTAGGGACTTGAACCACTTCACTTCTGATCTCCCTTTGTGGGCGAGATAGTCACAGTTAAGAGACATATCACAGTCTTTTTGTGTGGGAGGCAGAAAAGGGTCATCATGATTGCTTAAAGTGACAAACCTGCCATCAGAAGCAAGCTAAGAAATTTATATCTGTTATAGTTCTGTCAATTTGATTAAGGATATTATTATTCCTAACTCTAGTTCTCTCCCCTTGACATTCTGTATTCTCTCAAATAAGCACCCAGGAAACAGACTGACCAAGACAAGGAGAGATTATATTGGATTCCCTTCTTGAAACTCATAATCTAATCTTAAATAAATGAGGTGTAAATATATTCAAATTCTTTAAATAATGTATAACATTAAACTTGGTAAAATGTATCAATTTTTTTTTTCTACTTTATACATTTGGATAGGGCACTGATTAATTCCAAATAGGAAATAAAAAGGGAGATCCTTATCGGGGTGAATATGGCAATAAAAATTTTTGCAATAAGATGCGAGATAGAGCAGTTGTCAAGGTTTTAACTTTTAAAGTCAGTACAGGCCGGTATAAAAGCTAGCAGAGTATTTCAGCTGTGAATAAAACAGAATTGTGTGGTGTGCTGCCCACAATTATTTTTTTTCTGGCAAACATTTGAGTAGCATATTACAAGATCATTTATCAATTTGTAAGCATGATCATGATGAAGGACCTTGTGCACTTTTCTTCATTTATCAAAATGGGGGAAAAATCCGTACCAGTGTTTCGATTTTTCTTCGTTTTATCTATGAAGGAGAAGTAATTAATGTAAAATCAATCAGTTATCAGGGAGAACCAATAAATGAGCCTTATCCCAAATATAAAGCCTGTAGTTTAGGAGAAATTGTTTACATGATGGAAAGTGTAGATATTGCTGGTATCAATAGGGAATTATTCCAAGAGTAGTACATCACTTTTGCTTAGATATCAAAGAGAAAACGAAATATTCTATTTTCATGATGAAAGGCCTATCATATTCTGGTTAAAATCCAAAAATCTTGAAATGAACAGCTTATTGTATTCAAATGATCACTGATAATCTTTTCCTTCATTATTAAATAAAAAATAAATAAAACCTAAAATGAATTACATTTCTTGGTCTATAGTCTATACAGAAGCAAATATAGACTTCTGAATTTCCAATAAAAAGTCTATTTTTTAGACATTCATTCTAATCAAGATTTCCTTATTACCTTTAAAAATGAATTTTCCTTATGTTGCCAAGCCTGACACCTGAGTTAAGTTTCCAGACACAGTATTGAGCCTTAGTTTTCCACAGTATTGAGCTTTAGTTTTCCTAAGTTCAGAACAAAGATACTTCATGAGTTCATCTTCTCTTGCCTCTGTGTAGTATGACACACACACAACTACTCACACATGATAGACATCAACACGTGACATAGGACACAATGCATCATCACTCACCAGCCCTCTACATAAATATATCAGAACAGCATCAACAAGGAAACAAGTATTCAATCTGAACACTCTCTCTCTCCTGCAGATTTCTCACACAGTGAAATCTCATAACATATGACATATAATCTTCTCTTTAGTAGCGCATTATACACTGGAGGTCGTCAAAGAAAGACGAATATACCCAGACTGATAAGACAGAACACTGGCTGATGAAGTCTTGCCATATGATGACTTCATGTGTACGGTGACTACACAGTCTTTATTCTTCTGATTGTTATAAAATACAGGTAAAATATCATTATAGCCTTAAAAGATGTACTTCAACTTAAAGAGTCCACGTGCAATTTCTTTTTCACCTCATCTTTCCAGGCTAGTTTTATTGTCCTCTTTGACACAAAATTATATACTACCTATTACATGTGTATTCAGTAAAGCTTTTATCAAACGATTTGGTGTTTACAGCAAAGTTATTTTCATTCCACATGGCTTTAGAACTTTATAAACAAAAAAATGACAAGTCATATGTATAACTAAGCAAAATTAGTGACTTTGTTATAAGCATTTTTTACTATATGTTAAGCTCCTTGTCCCCATGACTACCCTAGACATTTTCTAACAACAGCCAAATTGGAGGGAAACCCTTATAATTTTTATTAACAACTTCACAACCAGACAAAGCCACTATGTAAATATAAGATCAATACATAACCAAATTCATGGAAGACTACAATACCGTATTACCATAAAGTTCTGCATGAACACCTGACAAGTTGACCACAAAAATATATTTATATACAGTGATTATATTCACAGTTATAATATAGTACAAACTGCTCTGTTTACAGGAAATCTACATACAGTTAGAGTAAGATACACAAAGAAACATGCTTGTTGTGATACTTTTGATCAATGGGTTTTTTTTTTCTCTGGATATGACACGATCACATCTCAGTGCCAATATTAATACCATTCATTTCTATTTCAATATGAAGCACTGACTGAGTTATAAAGCATAAAAATCTCAACTTCTGCCTCTCTGTTTTCTGTGCAGGTAACTGAAATCAACCTAAGGACATTTCAGGCTTTCTTAGATAGGACTGAAAGCTCAAATCTTGAGAAGGTAAAATTCCAGGACATTTTTATGATCTACAGTTTTCCAGACTCCAGATTGATTCAGCTGAGATAAAATAAAAAAATCTAAGGACAGAGTATCCTAAAGATAAAAACTTGTTCCAAAAATACTTCGTTTAGAAAGTGCAAAAAACAAGCTGAACTTGAGTAGGTTTTAGAAAATTCTGAGAATGCCAGAGAGCACCTGGTATGGGTCTGGAAATTTGACGTCTGGAAAGAAACTGATAATGAGAAAGATTTGTTCCTTCATAATGAACGTAAATAAAAGTAGCCACTAGAAAGGTGAGTGGTAGGAATCCAATTCCTGGCCAAACAGAGTTCAAAACTACCCTGATATGGAGCTAAATCACTGATTAAACCCTGAGTAATTGAGTGCAAATATTACTCCTGACAAAGTATATCACTGCACGCCTACATACAATAAACACTTTGTACCTCAGTCAAACAAATCAGACAATGTAATATTGTTATAAACCCCACACATCTAAGGTATAGGCTAAAACATATAAACACCATGACAAGTGGATGAAAGCTCCAGATTATCTACACACCCCTTCATATCTCTGATAAAAAAATGGGACCAGTAAATGCTCGATATCTATACTCTTCTTCACATCTCCCCCCCAAAAAAGATGGAAAAACTCTGACAGACAAATCAGTCATTTGAAAATTTATAAATCTAGAAATTCATAACTTCTTTGCTCTGACAATCCCCTTTGAATGGGTGATGTTATGTAACTTTGACTGGGAATTTAATTGAAATGGCTACAGAGCTTCATCAATTCTTTGATATAATCTCCCTAGCATCAGTACAATATCAAAAACTTTGCTTCTCTGAGTTCTGTTATGGATTTGTACTTAAGGTCCCTCTCAATAAACCCTGCAATCACATGTCTTTTATTTCTACATGCTGTATTCAAATCAAAAATCCATTTGATATAAAAAGAATATCAGAATCTCTTTCCCTCTTTCCTCTTCCTCATATGTTATCAATATTCAAAATACTGTTATCATGCATCATCAGAAAAAATTTTAAACTTCACATATGTATATCTTAGGACTAAAATGCATGATAATTATCTATAGCTCTACTAATATCTCAATAATCAACACATATGCCATGGCAAATATATTTATGTAATTGTTTATTAAGCGAAAAATGTTAGCCAGGGAAAAATTTTTGAACTTGATTCTTTTTAGAAATAATTATAGAATTTTAAATGGAAGTAAACTTTTCATCAAAAAAGGTGACTATTTGTCAGTTGTTTCATTTCTTATTTCAAATTTATAATGTTATTAACCAAAATTTTTCCATCTGAGAAGTTTAAAATGTTTTTGAATATTAAAAAAAATAAAAGGTTCTCACCTGAGTGTGAAGCTTATTGCGATGGAAATCCCGCAGTTTAAACAAGTCTTCATTGAGGCCTTGTACAGCAGTCAATGTTCCCTCTAAAACAAATTAAAGTTAGGATACGTCACATTAAAAAGTACCAACACTTTGACAAAAACACTCCATAGAAATTCATCTTTAGCGAAAAAAAAAAATCTGTAGAGGCCAAGGAGTTGTAGCCAGGCCGTAAGAAGAAGCGAAAGTTTTAGTCGTGTTCTCTGTGTGTGTGTCTACACTCTTCTCTGCTCTGAATTACTTTCTCTGCAGCTCAGAGAAATCATCCCCTGCAGAAATCACTGGGGCTACCTCCTTATCTTGTCAGTAGGTTAAGATTCCACTGAACTGATTACAAGTCACAGTGCATTTAATTTGAAAACAGTTATATTTGGGTTTAGAATTTGAAAAAAAAAAAATTAAGCTAAGTCACAAGATAATGCTTCAAATAAATTTAAAAATAACACCATTAGAGTAAGAAGAGTTAATTTGCAAATGATATTTTCTGATCCAATTAATAAAACAAGGTCAACTTTGTTCCATAAACATAATGACTAGTATAATGAGGAAAAATCTTCAAATAACAGGACAACTTTAAACTTGTGGTAATTAAAAATAGAGGCATTGAGAAGAAACTGGTCCTATATTCTACTTAGAAATATCCAATTTTTCTTTCTTTCATTTAATAAACATGGATAAAAAGAAATGCCAAATTTATCTGGTTTCTGGTCAATGACTAGGCCTATATGCCATAAGTAAAAAAAAATATATATTATAACCATCATAAAGAGAAAACTTTCAAAAACCATGCATATCTTACAAATTCTTTTTACATGTAGACTATGGTAAAGCTGGAGAGAACTCTCAAAGTGCATCATTCATAATGGTAACTTTTTTTGAAGGGAAAGTTTTGCCTACTACCAACACAATCATTGTTTGGAGTGAATCTCCTGTTAATAGTAAACATTGGGATCCTAAGGAAGGAGTTAATTATATCTCCTCTCTTACTATATAAATAAAACCTCCCCATTCATACAACTGGCTGCAACCAGAACTTTGTTTGGATTATAGCTATACACATATAATTTATTTGTTATCAAAATACAAGATCAATTACTATCCGAAATTTGCCAGCTTTGTAAAAAAAATATATCAGCTAGAATATAATAGTCAGTATTGAATGCTGAAAAAGGTTAACAACTAATTAGGTTACTTAGAAGAGAAAGAAAAGGTTTAACATCTGCTTACTATAACAGAACAGTAACTGGTTCATGTCTATAATAAATCAGTTATAAAACATCACCACTACAAAAAAATCCTCTTTTGTTACAGAAAGATGGATTTTATCAGAAGTCTGAATCTTTTGAAGTTCTAGTTTTCTGAATTCAATACTCAGATTCTTAATTTTTTTTTTCAAAATAACTTTGAGAGATGCATTATTTCTAAATGTTTGATTTAAATTACATAAAGATTATGCTATTAAAATTTACCATAAATTCCCTGATCCATCTCTCCCCTGTCTGACATTACATCCGATAAATCTTCCGTGGAATGTCCGGGAGATTCAAGGTCTTCCAGGGAATTATCAAGGTCATCAGTGGTGACATTTTTTATTGCATCCTGCAAAGTTCGGGTTTTTTCTATAATGGTCTGTAACTTGCTTTCCCCGTCCGCCTCTATCTCAGCCATAGACTGGTTCTCTGTGGATAAAACAGAATCCGAGGTCCGGATAATTCCTTTACCGATAACAGAATCCGTACATAAATCAGACAAGATATACGATACTCATCTAGTGTATCAGATTGGACCAAACAAGATAGTGTGAAAGAAGATGAATGTATTGAGTGGTCATTTTTTACTCTAAAGAGGAAATTCTGCTTTAGCTAATACCAATCAATAAGTATGGGATAAAAGACTTGTGTGTTCATTATGTGTGATAATCTAATCACTGACAGAATAAATCAGAAATCTAGACTCTTTAACTACAAGTTGACATTTTTCTTTACAGTCTGTATTCCTACACACATAAATCACAGTCCCTAATTATGGTAATCTAACACATTTAAATGATGTTTTTGTCTTTCTCTCATATACTTCCTTCAACCTTCATGACATAAAAACTAACAGAAATAAAACTCAAATCAACTTAATTGATAGATATTTGGCATGGGTTTCTTTGATGAAAATTTCAAATGGCATATTTGCATTCAGACTTGATCACTTTTTAAAAAAAATCTTACTAAATTGAAGCACACAGGCCTGCACCACTAACCTGTATCATTTTCTGTGCCAGGCCAGGATGTCTGACAGTCCAATTGGACAGAGTGATCTCCCCCTTCCTCCTGGCTGATCATTTCATGATAGATGTAAATATCTTCCTCTGTGAAAAAAAAAAACATTAACTATGTACTTATTTGATACCCAGGAGCAGAGAAGAAGATTTTCAATAGAGCCCTTACCCCAAAAATATTTCACAATTTCACAATTTTGGTAAAGGACTCAATGCTGATTACAATCATGCAAACAGTTTGACTGCTTGATGTCCAGGAGTAAAGAAGAAGATTTTTAAAGATTGCATTAATTTTAGTGGTTTTTATGCCAAATTTGGTTGAAATTGGTTCAGTGGTTGCAGAGAAGAAGCTGAAAAGAAAGATATGCAAAAACAGATAGTTCACCTGACTGCTTGATAAAAATCTTACATTGGCACACAGTGCACCAAAGTATCAGCCAGGCCAGGATGTTGACAGTCCAATTAAAGATCTCCCCTTCCTCCTGGCTTCTGAAAAAAAAAAACATTTACAAGGTTTAAACAGGTTTGTGGCCAGAAAAAGGACATATCAAGGTTTAAACAGGTTTGTGGCCAGAAAAATGGGTAATTTCACAACCTCTTCCATCATTTTTAGTATATGGAGTAAACTCCATCTAGTAGAGACACATGTGCTACAATATCATTATTGTTGTATGATATACAAGCAATGAAGTAACATCCCCAATTCAATTTAACCTGAAAATACAAGTATTAATAAAATTATTACACCTCAGAATCATATCTGGACCTTTTTATGTCATATGCACTGGTATTTCAGAAATATTGCATTTCTCAAATTTATCATATTATAGCAGTGTTGAAGTGATACTACAAATAACTTATCATATAACTCCTACACATCTCAGCAGGGTAATGAACTCAGTACAATAAATACTACAATATTTTCATTAAAAAACAGGCATGTTTTTCATTCCTCTACAGTTCCAAAACCACTCTGACAACAGCATTTCCAATTATTAATCCAAATACTCTGTCAAGTGTATTTATGTTTATATAAGACAATTAGTCATCAACAGAACAATTTTTACTAATTGATATCTCAGTGAACTGTTTGTGTGATATATAAGCCAAGTCTACATTCTACACAGTGTGCACACAAACCTTTTTTTCTTTTATTCTACTCCTTATTTAATTACGACAGGTAAAATTAATCTTAATGATAATTAAAATGTTAATTAAATGATCAGTGTCATGTTATGGGACTTCAGAGTGGAGAAAAAAGTAGGGTAATGTCCCCTTCCTGTGAAGAGACATCTCTGCTATTTTAAGACAGGATTCTGTATGTTAATAAAATAAATGAACTTCAAAATAAAAATTTTATTATTGTTAGTTATGTTATAAAAAAGTGGGGGATCACAAAATGTTATAAAAAACTGATTTCACTCTGACCCTTACTGGCCTTAACCTTTTATTTCTATTTTGTGTTAAGAGTGATACATTAATGTACACACCTTGTTACATCAGACAACACAGCTGTTTATCCAGCATTTGATTTAATAAAGTCTTTCTTGATGAAATTTTCAAAACCTTGGTTTATAATTTGAATGCTGGATTCTTCCTTAATCTTGAATTTCAGATCATTATTGGTTTTTTTCTGCTAATAACGACAACTTAGATTAAAAAAAACAAAACTTTCCCTGTTTAGTAACAAATTAAAATAACTATGGACTAAAATATCAGTGTTCCAAACTAATATAAAGATTGTGCATAATTTCATTCCATCTATTTTTTTTTTTTTTTTTTAATTTTTATTCTTATCAAGAGGAAAATGATGGCCCAATATCAAATCATAAATTTTAACTTTCCCATAACTGAAACCTTGCAATTCGAAAATCTAATATCAATTTGGATGAGAAGCAAGTTAATGGTGTCAGATTTATTTTATTTAATAAATAAGGCCATATAAAATTGAAATCTTGGTTCTCAGGCCCGCGCGCATCCGTTTTGAGGTAGCCGCATTGCCGATTTTATTGTATTTTTGATAAAATAAAAAGTTGGTATTGCGGTGACCAATCCATTAAATTCCTGGGATTATGGAAAAAAAATTCCAATCTCATTTGTTTCGTAGTTTAGTATTCAAATATCACTTCCGGTAGCCATTTACAATGAGATTTTGGCTACTTCGTTTGAAAATACATTCGAGGACATTACCTACGATGTTTACATGCTGTTAAGCAATGGATAAAGCAGAAATTTTGACCAGAAATGGAAAGTATATCTGTGATTAAAAAAAACAATCTTTATGTTAAAGAAAATTCGGAAATTAAAATTAAAATCAAAAGCCTGAAAGGCTTCAATGGCGTCGAACAAGAAAAACAATTTCAAAAGATCTGCAGATAGGTCAAGTGAGTGACTGCGGTAACATAATAATGAAATTAAAAAAAATAGTCTTAACACAAATACAGTATAGGGCCTGATAGCCTTGTGTCCTGGAAGTTTTTCGAATGAGTCAGGGTTCGAATTGACCAGACATCGTCAGAAATGTCCATCCTCTATATCAATCTAATTTCTTTTCAGTCAATCGAAGACATATGAAGGGTTTCATAAATTATTTTAATCAATTGCCATTGTCAGAGCGTTGTTCTGTTGTATAGTGATTGCATCTTAACTACAACCATGACTCTAATGTTAGAAGTACGATCGACTTACGATAGGGCGCGGTAAACAAATGGAGGAATTGGATAAATACAGTAATACTGGCATTACTGGTCAATATCGTCGGTTGTTCGGATAAAATTGGATTGAGGATCGTAAAAGTAAAGCTAAGATTAAAAAATTCAATCTTTATAGTCTTGTTGTATTCGTGTTTATTTTGTAATTATTTTACAGTATTTAAAATTGTTTGTATTATATTACTCGGTCCCAAAATGTGATTCATGTCATTCGAAGCACCCTCTCTGTAGAAATTCATCCGCAACAACCATAACGTTTTTCTTGCGTAAAAATTAAACATAATATCGTTGTTTTGTAGTAGTATTAATTGAAGATACAATTGATTTAATATTATATTCAAGCTATTATTCATTGTGAACGTTTTAAAAGAAATTGGTTTACAGCTGTTGCTATTTTCTATTGCGGATGCATCCACTGACACGTGCGGTCGCGTAAACCTGACTGATCGCTAGATGACGATCGGGCAAGCCCGACGCCATAAAAAATACCTCCCTCATCTACTTTATTGCCAATAAAATGAAAAATAAAATGCCGCCCTCCCGCATCTGTTTTGGAGAAAATTGGCCTGAGAACCAGGGAATTAAATTTTGATAGCCTAACGCATTTATTTTATTCAAGACATGATTTCCATAAATGTGTGTTCAAATGGATGCAAGTATACTGAATAAGGCTACCTGGCTAAAAAAAAAGTCAGGTTTCATGTCACAGTTATCACAGTTAACAAGTAATTAACCAGGAAAATATTTTCAAACTTTAATCAGCATACCATAAATTAAAATATTTTGTAGGGTCAAATTTTCATGGTTAGAGAAAAAAATATGCCAATTATGGATTCATGGGATTAAATTTCATGGATGAAGAATATATTCTTGAGTAGTTCTATCTGTGAACAATTGCATTACATGGTGGATATAAATTTGTGGGTCTCTTCATACCCCCCCCCCCCAAAAAAATGATATACTTTATTTCATCTAACTGTCAACTGGTTTAGTTGAACAGCTGGTGTACAACTGTGCATTATGTGAGATTGCAATTATGATCTAACAATAGAACAAAAGTGCATATCTGACAATATGATATAATCATGCCACAAAACAAAATTGTCTTAAAGCTAGTAATACTGATAATGTAAACCACTTTTTACTACAATAAAATGACATTTTTGTGTCATATCCTTTTAAAGTACACCAGAATTTCCTCTGTCGTATGGATATATACTCCAATATCTGCATGTATGTATGCACTTTAATGATATCTTTAATAAAGAACAACTTTTTCATACGTTTATAAATTTGTAATTCAATGTGAAAATACAGAAAACAATGCTTCTTAGCACAATCAACAAAGGATGGTCAAAACAACTAACCCTTTCAATGTGAACATCTAACCCAATAGCTTACAAAACCTATTGACTATATAACACTTACCCACTGGTCTGCGAGTGATGGTACTCATGGACTTTTGACCATTGGCCAGTTGACATATAATTCCAAAATCCGTGGCAACAGGTTCTGTGTATATTCTTACAGAGTGACCACTAAACCTGAAATAAAAACAAAACAAAAAATAATTATATGTCAAACTGGAAATACTACGGAATCATCATTGTTAGTAGGGGATTTAGCGGGTCACCCCTATCCATGAACTTACATCCCATGAACACTTACTTTGTCTGTATATTTATTCATTGAATACTCAGTTACCCATGAAATATGAACCAACAAAATTTTGCTTATATACGAACATTTACCTCCAAGGAATTAAAATGATTCCACAGAAGTCAGGTTAACATTATGGTACTTCCTTCTGAGATTTTTTCAAGGAAAGTTCACATCCTCATGAAATACAGACAAGAAAGTCTGAGAGCATCACTTCAAGTGAGGAAGTAAACCATACACATTTTGTCAATTTATGTGTATTTGAACTAAATGTTGTAAAGATGTTGTTTTTTTTTCCTTTGGGTCAAAGTCAACATTTCTGTTCATGCCAACAGTAGAAAATTACAGAATTCTTGGATTGCCATTTTTTGTCTTAAAAGTAGTGTAAGTACATTAAGACCAATTTTGCAGAAACTTTGTGACAGCATACAGAGCATAAATTAATACAAGACAGGAAAAAAGTACTTCTACAGATAAGAAATGATTGGAATAATAATTTAAGTCATGTGTTTATTGGTATACATGTATTATTGGATACTTTTAAATTTGTCCACTCACATTTTTCAAGATGAGCTATCACACTTCATGAAATATGCCTAAGTATAAATAGTTTTTAATAAACTTCAAGAACTTATAAACTGAAATATTTTTCTAAAATTAAAAAAAAACAGGAATCAACCTTGACTGTGGCCATGCCTAAAAATGCCAAGAAAGTGAAACAATTTGTACCTGAAAATAATTAACACATCAATGATGAGGGTTTCTGTTGATTGTCAAATATTTGCTATCCCACCAAGCTGTCCCTTCTAACTTACAAAATCTCACCTTTGTCTTACATCTTCATTTTGCTCTAATATTCCACAAATAATTTATCTGTGAAATCTTCTCTTTACCAAACCCATGAAGATTCAGCATTTAGAAGCGGTACTATATCTTTGGAAGTAATACATAACAGCTGTGTGTCATTGTACTCTGGTACTGACAAACTGTATCTACTACCTACATGAAGTTGTTTCATTATTGGCAACAAATACCAAAGTGCATTAAATCAATATAGAACCATACACTTAGTCCCTGCATCTTAGAAATTACCAGGAAGTATTATCTAAATAAACGATAGAAGACACCGGCCCTACTTACTGACTCTCTGTCCAGTGGATAAAGTATTTACAGTGATAACAATGCACAAACAATACTGCAAGTTTGTAAGAATACTTACAAAGAAATAAATATCAGCTGTCTTATGTCAGATAGATCCAAAAATAATGTAAGCTTTAAAAATAATAACAATAGTGTGATGGTCCCAAGGTTGTGATGAGGCATCTATACATGTACATATATACAGGATGTCAGCGCAAGATCACAACATCCATCTACACTTAATGGAAACAGGAAACTTTGTGTCAATCTGGAAACTTAGCCAGCAACATCGGAGGGGTTTATGTTTTAAAGATCCTATGTAAGTCTCAAACACTGATACAGGTTCAATTGAAAAAGATGGGCCAGTTCTGGAATATTACCAGTTCACACTCTTTGGTTCCAATTCCTGCAGTGATTTACAGTTGAGCACACTTCATTTTACTTGCTGTATGTAACACATTTCAGGACAGACAGCTATTTCAAGACTTTTTTAATATTCAAACAGATTTTAATCCAAATGATCATTTAAATCCTACTCCAGGTATCATAGCCTCTATATACAGCTATTGAGGCCTATTTAATTATCCCTATGGTTATGTTTTCTTTCCCTGTGGTTTTAAACAATGTTAGAAACAACCTATATATTTAACATATTAAGTTTATAACCAATCCTTCCTTGGCACTTCGTGGAAAGCAGTTTTGAATACAACATATTTTTAACACCTTGAGTTTTACTTTGTTTGAAATAAGTGGTTCATAATGTTAGTCTATACTTTCTTAAAGATTGTCAAATTGTCCTTAGACTATCAAATTTTTATATATCATTATAAATTTATTAATTTATCATTTAAAAGTCATTACTTCTGCAGGAAAAGCCTTAGATCACCTGAAAACATTCTGAAACTGTTCAAGAATCTAGAATCAGTATGATAAACCTAACTGGTAGTACAACAGTGAGACATCCAATATATCGGAAAATTAACATGATTAAAGTGTTTTCCTTTACAATAAAATCTCTAGTGCTGCCCATTATTTAATGAAAGATTCATGTAAGTTTTTTTTAATTTACTTTTTCTCCAGCACTGTCACTAAATCACCTTCATTTAGAGGAAGCTTGGAAAGATACAGCATTCCAAGACAGCAGTGTGAACATCCCACACAACCTCCTAATCAATTACCTCTGGCTTTCCTACACTGTCTATCCAGGGAAACTTTTCACTTATTAGCTGTGTGATTGTCACAGAATTGTCAACATGTTATCTTATTGTTTTCTGACAACTCAGTTACACTGACTTTCAGAATGCTAATCTTGTATTCACAAACATTAATAAAGTCAGATGACTTGCTTGACCTAACAACTACTATAAGTAGGTTAACTGGTCATGATAACTAAATTAGTAATAATTAATGTATGTCCTTGTAACTAGTGTCAATGAAGGTCAGTCTGTAACACTGACTCGGGAAAAGCATGGTTCACCAAAGGTCTAAATTAGTCCTGTAAAATTTTATCACCCATTGTGGCCCCACCTTTCCCCTGGGTTATGTTTTGACCCCTCCCTGGATAAGGATTTAAAAAAAAATGAATATACATTTTCTGAGAATGCTTCTAATTAAAGCTTTGTTATGTAAAAAAAATCATTGCCCACCAAAGTGGCCCTTCTGTAATTCCCCCCCCCTTTTTTAGGGTCAGAATTTGAACAAATTGAATCTCAACTTCCTAAGGACGCACATACATATGATCAACCAGGGCTGTTTTTTAGATTTTCTTTCTATGTTAATATGTAAAACTTTCATCTCTCATTGTGCCTCCATCCTAAACCCATGGATAAAATAAACTTTAATCTTCACTACCCCAGGAGGTGTCCACATAACCAGTCATGGCTCTGAGGTTCTTCAGATATTTTCTTTGTAAAAATTATCTCCCCATTGTAGCCCCACCCTACCCCTGAAGGACATGATGTGAACAAATTTCAATCTACTCCATGAGAGCATGTTTTCACAAAAGTTTCATCTTTGCGATTTTGATGTAGATGTGGTGGCAATTCACTTGGGGACAAAATTGAACCCCCTTTACCTAAGGATAGTGGCAAGTTTGGTTTAAATTGCTCCAGTGGTTGCTGTCTTGAAAAGAATTTGTTAATGTTAAAAGTTTACAAACACTAAACAAAATGTGATTACTACCCATGTACTGTATTATCATTCGTATTTCATGAAAATATTGAACAACATGGAAAATATTATTCCTTTTGTGGTATTTAAAATAGAGCATGACAGATGATCTAAACATTACAGGCATAAAATTTAATAGAACAGTTTGTTTCTCAAGTTTATAATGATTTTTTTTTATTAATGCCTGTGCTGCTAATTTTGTTTTTTGTTAAATGTACTCAAGTCAGTTTTCTGTAAAATTTCCAAAAACCTCAATCCTTTCACATAGCTGTTACAGTATCTATTTCCCAGACCCTCACAAGAACAATTTTTATAATATTGGTGGTGGAACAGTCTAAGGGAGGTAACTCCCAAATGCTATAAACACTTACTCTGCCAGAATTGAAGCTAACTCTGGGTGTCCATTTTCAGCAGCCAGATCCTTTGGGAGGTTTCCATGGCGATTGTGTAAATGCAGAGCTTCCTGAGCACCATTTTTATCCAGTAAAAAGAGAGCAACTTTGTTAAGTCCAAGACGAGCCACAAAATGTAGAAGAGTTTCACGTGGTATATGCTCTGCTGAAACTAAAAATATTCCAATCAATTAGTTTTATCCCACTTAAGAAATTGTAATCAAGCTTTGTATAAAACATGTTCTAAAAATCAAAATGTCAAATCTGAAGCTAATTAACTACGTCTTCTTTTTAACAATAAATAAAATAAAACATGACAAGAGATAACTCTTGACTCAAAGTGAGAATAAATATATGTTCCACTGTTACTTAATTTTATATCTGTTTTTCAAGAAGGCATTGGTGGTTTCTTATAGATCCAAGTCTTTCCTTCCACTTTTTACCTCAATTAATGTGACTGTTTTATGATTTTGATCAGTGAATACAATATAAAATGTCATCTGAGTAAAAGACTCAAACAAGCACAGAGAAAATTCTTTGAGCACTGGGCTAAAATAGCTCCACTAAATAGTGTTTCACAAAACTTTAGTAGGTCATATATAAATATATCTTTCAATGAGGGGTCATTATGTATGTACTGTATCTGCATAGTAGATTTAACAGTGGATGAGGTTTGACCTATATGTGATCTGTAGACTTGTGTTTGGGTTGTCTAGGTCTACATACCAAGCAGCTGAGTTTAGACCTGTGTGGTGTAGAGTTATCTGTGTGTGCGACTTACAAGAAGCTGAGTTTGGACCCGAGTGTGATGTCGACTTATCTGTGACTTAACAGCTGATGAGTTTGGACTTGTGTGGTGTAGAGTTATCTGTGTGTGCGACTTACAAGAAGCTGAGTTTGGACCCGAGTGTGATGTCAATTTATCTATGGGTGACACTTACCAGCTGGTGAGTTTGGACCCAGTATATGCCACCATTCAGGAATTTCTAGGTACTTCAAGGCCAGGTATAACCGCTCATCCAGTGTTCCAAGATTTTCTTCCCCCAAGTCAAACTTGTCAGATTTTATGAGTTCTAAGTCCTCTAATGCCTCTAAGTTATATACACTCTCTACTAAAAAACAGGCCAGAAAGTAGGTGGAATCATGATAGAAGTCAAACGCAGAGGTTACCAAGGCACAGATATCGTTGTTATAGTAACTGAAGAGAGTCAACTGCACTTTTTCAGCTTCTCCGTGGGCTGCAAAATACAAAAATAGATTCATCTTAATTTATCTTTTATTATATAATTCAGCTATGTAAAAATATATGATCATTTTGGAATCATTTTGGAATTTAACTACTGAACATTAAAATATTACATATTGTTAATCAATTATTTTAATCTCCTTCATAACTTAATTGTACCCTTATATTGCTCCTAGCCTTACTTATATTTTTATTATATCATGATGGTGTAAACTTCTCCAATATAGTAACTGAATCATAATCTGTCACCATAGACCTGGTAAGTTGCATGTTGAACAGAGAAAATGTGTATTTTGAAACCTTTTAAAATGTACAGGTATTGTGTGTAATACAACAAAAATAAGCTTTCTCAGCTGGAAAATTTGTTCACCCCAATTGTAGCAGATCTGACAATGGTCTGAAAGACTCTATTGTGCTATTTCAGATATTTTATCTGCATTACAAAACGTCACTGCCCCTTTACATGTTTCATTGACTGTCTTCTGTTATGTATATTTTCTTATAAATGGGGAGGGGTGGCACTGTTATCTACCTCATCTGTTTACAGAATTAGATGTGGAAATTTGTCAACATGTATCATATGTGGATATGAATATAATAGCACATATTTAACTGTGTTTATTTTATTTCTTAGTCCAGACATTCTAAAAAGGATTATTTAAGGTTACATCCACTGTTTAAAATACGGAATCTGATTTAAAAATCACTATTACTCTCAATAAGACATCTACAAGTAAATCTCCAAAAAAGAGAACAAGGTTTTTAACAAGAATAACATTTGTCATAAGACCAATAAGATCAGATAAAAGAACAAAAAACTGAAGAGTTTAAAACTTCTTCTAAAATCTCTACACAATGTGTAGTGTCTGCTAAGATCATTTCTTCTTACTATTAACCCATAGAGGGTATAATACTGGCTTTTTGGGCAAGGAACAATATTATCAAAAGGAGGGTTTACCAGTGTAAACAATCCAATTGTCCTGTTGTGTGGGGATTAGCAAGTGAAGAGATAGGCTGATGACAAACTTCACAGATTCCATGTCAGGAATACACAGAACAAATACAGTCACTTGTATATACTTACTACACATAAACATTGATATTCTCAGGTAAACAACATAATCCTCTCATACCAGTGTATCAAACCATACAAAAATACACAATAATACAGCCCAGTATATATTAAAGTACAGGTTATCTGAATTCTTATGCCCTGTTCACACGACGAGTTTAATTCGCAGTAAATTAATGCGAAGTAAACTAATGCGGATCAAATTAATGCGAATTAAATTGCGTTCACACGACAGCTAATGCGAAGAAAACTAATGCAAATTAAAATTTTTCTTTTACCCCCACCCAGTAAACCATTTGTTAACACGTCATGTATGCAGAGCCATCCTTTGATACATCATGTAGTGGCTACAGGTATATTGATTTTATAAACAAAATTTTGAACCAATTATAGCACATATACCTATATATAACCACCATCACGTGTTCTGTGACTTAAATCTGACCTTACGCATGCATCAAAATTTAATTGAATTAGCTTGCTTAGCGTTCACACGGAGCTAATGGTAATTTAATGTAAATTAATTCGAATTAAATAATTCGCATAAATGTGAACGCTAGGCGAAGCCGCAGGTAACTTTATGGATATTAAACTCTCCGTGTGAACAGGGCATTAATGTAATATGTTTCTTAAGTTTCTTCTCCAATCCCCAACCCCCTACCCAGTAAACCATTATACGGGATTTGAATAAATAAAACATTGAAGGCTGTATGACGACACCATTTTCATTTGCGATCCTTATAAATTTATTTCATAACCCCCGTGTTTTCCTTTTCGAGTTTTGTTATGTGCAAGACGAAATAATCCTGAAATAGGTTTGAATAATTGTTTTCTGCTCAGGTACGTAGCTCGCTGCGGCCGTTGCAACCATTGTTTACAACGTTGTTTGATGTTTTGAATATATACAATGCCGTTGCACGCGCAGTAGTGAATACAGCCTAAAATCCGGTGAATATGTAGTGTTATGAACTGTTTGCGTTTGTATAGATTATATAGGGACTGTAAATAGACTGTATAATAAATACATATATTAACCATGAATGCTGATAACTGAAATTTATTTGAATCAATTATCATTCAATTATTTGGGTCAAATTTTAATTCCTCTAATTGCTTCAAAGATATCAATAGATTGAAGTTTTTTTTTTATCCTTTTTTGCAATCAAGCATAAAAAAATATAATATCTATAAAATCAGTAGATCAACAGGGGTAAATCTGGAATGTGAAATAAAGTTTTGACATACATATAGTTATTTACAAAGTACCACATCTTGATATTACCTAATGAACATTTACGTCACAATAACTCTCTCTCCCGGCAAAATTCCTCTTTTATTTGTATATTATTTATTTACTGGACTCCACTTGGTGACCAATTAATAATTCAGTCCTCCTCTACTGAGTTTGCTTTTTGAGTTTATTTTTACAGTTCCTCAACAGTATCAGCTGTTAAACAGCAAGTAGAGCAATACAATAAAAACTGTCAGATAACAGCTCAAATTTCAATGAAATATTTAACATGGTCTCATCGCTCCAACATTAATCCTCTTAGTTTTCATTTTCTGGGAAATTCTTGTTTCATCAAGGTTATCCTGCAGAATTCAAGGTCACCCTGAGGAACATTGACAAACACAGCAGATGTTAAATAACCCCTGCATCCTAGAACAGATTGGCAGCAGGTACACAACATCAAAGCCAAGGCTGTCCCCAACATTACCCGTCAACAGAGCCTGATCAATGGGTATTGATTGAATTCAATTTCTATAGCATTAATAGTACCTAATCTGATCAGATTATTATTATATACTTTATACATATATGAGATTCATATATATAATATAACATTATAGATAACTGTGTAATTTTCAGACTTTTAACATGTTTGAAGTCAAAAATGCAATTTACAACTTACCTGCTCAAAAACAGATAAATTCTTGAATAAAACCTAGATTTATTAAATTTTGTTCGGAAGATACAAAATTGACTCAGGTCACGCATTTCCTGTGAAAAACTGGGTCAGTATCTGCCTCATTCATGATTTCTCATTCAGGAAATTGTACAATCAAATTTATGGTAATCTTTACAACTGACCACTTTGTCTCTCCTCATTCACAAAAGACACTAATTCCCTCATCATTAGTAACCCCTCACCGCATCACCCTACAATATATAACCTAGCGTCCATCACTGACCATTTCACCTGTAATTATGTGAACTATTTTACCTGAATTTCTGACAGGGAATGTGACAAAAATAACCAGTAAGACTGATTAACATAAGCAGTATGAACACAGCCCTAGATCCTAAGGTACTTACACCGCCCCTATTGTCTTACAGAAGAGGAGCATGTCAGAGGAATAGAAATCAGCTGTCTCATTAAGAGGATTAATCTAACATGTCTATCACTTCCTTCATGCATGTAGACTTAGAATACATGTATTCTATAAGTATATATATAAAATAATCAACAATGATTTTCAAAAAGCAACGATATACCACATGTACCAGTATTCTTCAATATACACAGAAACCTACCATATCTCAGTACGTAAAACATATACCTCCACATTCCGATATTCCACACATTCAGTAGTTATACCGTATTCATATCTGAACAAACTGAAGAATTCTTATGAAATAAATGTTGTAGCTTGACATCTTTGGTGTTAATGAATATACATATACTACAAGACAATGTTTATGAGAGTTGTCTTTACAAAGATGGTGTTGAACAATATCTATATTTCTTGTTTTTATTGTCCAAAACTTAAATTAGTTTCCCCTTTCAGATCCAACAGACACAACTTGTATTCAAAAATTATGTAAGATGAGATGTTGTGTTAAGTTTTAAGATAAAGTCTGTGAATCATGATATATCAGGATACACTTAAGTCGTATTGCTACATAAATAAAATTTTTAAGCCAAACCAAAATAAGTATATCAAAATAAACACTTTTCTAAAATCTGCATAAATCTTCCCTTTCCTAGATTCTACTGCCCAATCATAAACCTAAACGGTTTCTAATTCCATATACATATCTAAATTTAAAGTAAATACGGATGCTATACTTACTCAAAGGGGTAAAAATCTCCCTTTAGAAATGAATTTGACGGTCTTTTACGACTTTGATGGATTTTTTTTTACAAGTCTTTCCTTGAGAAATGTTATCAGCCAAGTGACCACAGTGTTTAAGACAAATGTCAATACGTGAAATTTACGATACCACTAAAACAAACAGTCACTTCAGCCGAGTCCTGTAAAACTTCCAGCTAGACCAGGTAAAAACCACCTGTATATACCTACCTGTATCTCTGTTCTGTTTGTAGCTCTATATTGATCAGAACTGACTGTCAGCTGTAAGCCACTAGCCTACTATACATGAACATGACAAGTGCTGAATGTCAATCTACATATACACAGTTCAATATGTGCCAGTGTGTAAATATACAACAATTTTTGCGAGCAAATCTCATCGCAAAAAAAAATATATATATAACTTAAATCAGTCAAAATTTAGGTTTACTTTAAAGTATTCCAAATTTAAGATGACAGAACTACTGGGACAAAAATGAACAAGAATATGAATGCAACATGCCCAATACTCAAGCTCCCTAGTTTACCTGGAATAACAGCCCAGCAGGTGTTGCCGCGCCTGATCCCCACCGTAATGTGTCTCTGATAGGGCCCCTCAAACACCAGGTACAGAGGACTGTCCAGCGGCACCCCCGGGGGCAGATCTACACTGATCTCCCCACCTCCCTAAAACAACAGTTTGAGGAAAAAAATGACAAGTTTTCTTAATAAAAAATTAATAGTTTTGAAAATCCAGAAGAGTGATTGGGAAGGCCAAACTGGTCAATGGGACTATGGCGCAACTGTCAACATTTTTGATGGGCCATTTCGAAAATGAATGGGCCATTAATATAATCTGAAGGGCCATTTTAAGAAATAACAAAGTGACAAACTAATATGAAGTATGAGAGAAAACACGTTTTTAATTAATCGAATCCGATTTTTAACACATGAAATGCAGTAAATTTAAAGGAACTTTCTTAGAATATAACTGACCCGTATATTGTGTTAAAATTACAACAGTTTTGGAAAGGGAACAACCCTACCATACAAATGAATGAAGAATTGTACCTCATGTAAGTGCTTCGTTTAACCGGAAGTACTTTTTACAGGTTTCAACTAATGAAATTTGTTGTTTTAAATTGACTGCATTTAAAACGAAAGTAAAACAAGAAAAAAAGTCGTACACAAAATATTTCCAAATAGCATCGCTAAAAATTGAATGCGCACCTTGGCGCCATGATTGATTGATTTAATGCGCCATTTTTCACTTCAATGCGACTATGGCACGTGGCGCAAGCCCTTCCCAATCACTGCCAGAAGTTAGTTCCTGGTCTATATGAAAAACAGTGTACTTACAAAGACGGGGCTTGAATTCTTATCAAATGCCATTCAGCATTCTTCTGAAATTTCAAAACACTGTAATTATTAAACTGCGGTGTTCATATTTTAAATAATTTTGTCAGTCTACTGTAGAACTCAAATATTGAGTTTTTTCCCCTGCAGTTTTCTGCAAGACAATAAAAATATATGAAATCAAATATTATATCATCTTTAAATTAAATATTTTTTATTACAAAGACTTTTATTTCAATCTGTATTTCCTCATTTTTAATGTCATCTAATTCAAAATTCAAAACATATACAAGCATTCTACCTTCCAAAATTATTTCCAACATTATACTGTAACTTTTATAATAAATGTTAGCAGTATAACATATAATTCAATTAAAACACCCTTGTCCTTACATTTAGTCTGGATCAAGGCCTGGGAAGGGGTCACACCATATTTACGATAGGGCATACATTGTTGTACAATAGCACAATGCAATGTGTGCTGTACCATGTGGCAGAATCATGACTAATTTTTTGTTTTGTAAATTCATTAGTTTGCACTTTGATGCCACTATCACAGTATCAGCATTCTTCATTAAAGTAAGATATGGATTTGGTGATATATTGCGTAGTAGATGGGAACCACCATTTAACTTACCAATGTCCACTGTCAAAGAAACATACTTTTCTGCCAAAGGATTCCAAAATGAAAAGATAATGAAGGCAGGGAATTCATTTCAACCTATTTTGATTGTAACAAATTAAGCAGTTGATTAAGCAGTTGTCTGGGCAAGATTTAATCAATTTGTTTGGCACTGGTTTAAGAGTAGGAAGAGAAATCACATTGTCGCAAGCCACAGCCAAAATGTACGATCCTCTCCCATTCTGGCCGTGGTTGATTGAGGAGAGAATTCTTCGTAGCTCATTAAAATATTGACCAATGCGAGTAAAGCATAGTCGGATGATGAACTTTGTCGCAACCTTTTAATATCCAATCACAGTATACAAAATATTTCTTGTATAATGTATACTGCTGATGTCAACTGCGATTGAAACAAAACTTGCCACTGACTGAATATGACGTCACAATAGAGAGGCGTTAATATTCAAGATTAAGACGCTTTTTGTGATCAAGCAGCCATGGGTAGGAGAGAGCTATATGCGGAATCCGCACCGTGGCTTGAGACGATGTAGAAAACAGTACAAAATTTTTTGTCTAAATCTAACTGATGTAATGACTAATGTCTTAAGTTCTTAATTATAAGTAAAAAATACATTAGAAATAACTTACATCGCTATCCTGCAACACAAACAGACAGTACAGATGCTCACTTTCAAGCAGCAAGATCAGAATGACCTTACTACACACTTACCATGATTATTTAAGGTCAAGATCTAGTAAATGAAGGGTGCCTACAGATTTATCAAATTCAAGAAATGAATTCCTTTAATGATGCTTTAAAACTTTAGCTTGGTCAAAAAAGGTGTTTCGGGGCATAATTTGTATGAAAATAAGATGAAAAACCATATTTTAAACTGTCATTTTCAATGAAAAATTAAGAAAATTAGTCATGAATATGGGAGTTTTTTCCATATCACACAAACAAAATGTATCCAGATTGCCTACAGTCTTTCAGAAAACGGTAATTTGTATGTTCTTGGTCTCTTCTTTTAAATAATGTTAAATTTAATATAGGTATCCGGACTACTTTTCAGATGATTTGAAAATGAATTCCATGAAAATACTTTATTTTCTACATAATTCTATTAGAGCCGTAAAGTACAAGAAAAAGAAAGTTGAAAGTGATTATGACATCATAATGGATCTAGCACCAAAATGTTAGTCTAAGGACATTTACTAGATCTTGACCTAAGATAAACATAATGCCGTTTTTCAGACTGTTTTCTTTTGTGATTTAACTCATCAAGCCTCTTAAAAGTGCACAATCAAGTGATTTTTTTCTGTATATATTTATACCTCTAATCAAGATATGTGTATGTGAAACTTTTGCATTCGAATTTTACTCTGGCTGTTTGGAAAATGATTTATCCTACACATTATGATGTAGCCAGGTTGCATACACTTCCAGCCACATGCGATTTCTTTTTCCTCACGGAAATCACCTTGTGAAAAGTCTGCTCTGTCATCATATTTATCAGTACAGAAAAGCTTAAAACTGTCTAAGAGAATATAAGGACTAGGTTTTACACCACTGAGGAAAAAAAAACACCTGTCCACAAAATCTGGTAAGCTTACATCCGGTCATTGCACGGCTTACGTTTTAGAACTGTCTCCGCAGGACGGGAATCCCCGAACCTCTGAGGGGAACATGGTGGGGGTAATGTAGAGTCCCGTAAAGAAAATTAGCTGTTATTTCTCTATGTGTAAACAAAGCACATTGTTTGCCTTTAAAAATATAAATAAACATTACCTTTTCCCATTACATTCCACACTAAATTTACAAGTGCGCCATCTTAAGTCACGTGACATAAACTTGACAAAAAAACTTGGGCGGATTTCATTTCATTTGACACCACGCGGGAAAAGATAAGACTGATCGCGGTGCACAATGTCACAACAGAAGATTTCTATTATACAACAAATCAAAAATGCATTTAGTTTATATAATGAGTGGTATGTAATTTTAGTTCAACATTTTATTTATAAAGCGGTAAAAAATTTGTGTTTTTTTTAAAGGTAGGCCTACTTGGACACAGGTTTGAAGTTAATATTTTCTCTATAATATTTCGACTTGTATATTTTAATAGCATTTCACACAAAAATTATTTAAAAAAATTATTTCATTTGAAACTTATTATAACTTCAATTTTTTGGCGGGTTTGATTGACACATCCTTGCATTTTCACAAATTTTAATTTTATTCTTAATACTTAGGAAAAGTGGCAATCTTGTGGTGTATATATGAAAAATATTAATAGTAAATATTATAATCCAGAAAATTCAAAGTAGAAAAGTTCGAAAGCAAACACAAACACACAATATATTGTCAGTCCGTACAACTGTGGTGAGCAGACTTTGACGATTGAACGCACCCGGTGAATCGTAAACATTAACAATAACAGAGCTCGTGCCCTGTTTACAAAAATTGTGTAAATAACACGAGTGTGATCGATTTGCTATACTCTGTACACAACACTTAGCTCGGAATGACGATACTTGTGAAGGAGTTTTGCTTTCTAACATTTGAACTCTGTATAAAATTATTTTTCTGGATTAAGTTTTTATATTTCTCATTAATACACAAGATTGCCACTTTTCTTAAGGATTAAGAATAAAATTAAAATTTGTGAAAAAATGTGTTCAAATCCGCCAAAAAATTTTTTAATACCTTTTAAACGAAATAAGATTGTTAATTAATTTTTGTGTGAAATGCTATTAAAACATATAATTCATGATATTATACAGAAAATATTAACTTCAATTCTGTGTCCAAGTACCTTTAAAAAAAAAAACCCAAATTTTTAACCGCTTCATAAATAAAATGTTGAAACTGAAATTACATACCATTTTTGATTTGTTGTATAATAGAAAATTGCGGCCCCCCCCCCCTCCCCAACTTTTTTTCCCAACATTATTTATACCATAGGTACGAAAGCCTATTGGACTCATTTTCGTAGGTAAAATCAAAATAAAATTTTCGCGCTATAACGCGAAACTTTCGCGATATAACGCGTAACTTTCGAGTTACAATGCGAATTTTTCGCGATATAAAACGTATCATTTTATGAGCTTAACGTGCCATATGGTGCTTATCAAATAATACATATAAATGGACATTGTTGATTAAAAATTTTTCGTCTCTTAATTTTTCTCCAATATTTATATATCTGGGTTATTGAAAATCTCGTGGAGTAGCGTCATAAATCAAAACTATGAAGGTTTACAGCAAAGAGTTTTTACACTTTGAATTTATTGTCAATGTTTTCCTAAGCAATGTAATGACCACGTGCATGGCGCAATCTCAAAATACGATGTCCTACATCTACAGTGAATCTAACGGAGACAGATGAAAATTTGCCATCCAGTTTTCACCCATGTGGCGGGACATAATTGACAAAAAGTTCACATTTGGTTAATTTTCTGAGATCCTAATCTAACGGAGACAAATGAAAATTTGCCATCCATTTTTCACCCATGTGGCGGGACATAATTGACAAAGAGTTCACATTTCGTTAATTTTCTGAGATCCTGAAAAGACACCTGAAAGGGTTGATTTTCCCGAAATTCATAATTATCAAATTTAATTTTTGAAAAACTCGAATAAACTTTGAATTGTTAGAACAGCGTTGAAAAAGATAAAATGTGACAGTAATATGGATTCAATAGCTAGAAAACTTGGAATTATAGCTTGTGATGGTCCAGAATCAAAATAGCCTTTTGATTTTCATTGTAATGAATAAACTAGATCACAAAATCAAAGGAAAGTTAAGACTTATGCAAATGCCTTCTTGTTAAACAGCTACAGTTTCGCGTTATAACGCGAAAGTTACGCGTTTATCCGCGAAAGTTTCGGGTTATAACTCGAAAGATTTATTTTTTTAACCTACGAAAATGAGCCCAATAGGCTTTCGAACTACGATTGAGCTCATTTTGATAGGTTAAAAAAATTAATTTTTCGCGTTATAATGCGAAACTTTCGCGAATAAACACGCAAATTTCGCGTTATAACGCGAAACTTTCACGATATAACGCGTAACTTTCGCGTTATAACGCGTAACTTTCGCGAATAAACGCGTAACTTTCGCGATATAACGCGTAACTTTCGCGTTATAACGCAAAAACTTTCGCGTTATTTTGCGAAATAATATGCATATATAATAATGTTACTCAGGAACCTTAATCTTGACTGACAGATAAGAACATGGAAACAGACGGGAACTCTCAGCAACTCTCAGTAGCCTAATTTCATTGAAAATGATGCAAATAATATATTTCTAGAGTAAAAAGAAATTGTAAACCTTTATGATGTTCAAAAGTCTACCTCTCTGAAACCATCCTTATTAATCTATACAAATACTTTTCACTTCAAATCCTATTTTTGTAAAAATTTTACTAGAATTTTAAAAACTTCGCGGTGAAACTTATTCATTAAAACAAGTAGTTATTTTCAAATTATTTGACAAAAGTTTGTTTGTATCATATCTGTCCTTATGGTATATACGGCATAGTTTGCACACTTTGAATTAATTGTCAATATTTTTCCGATACTTAGTATCGTATTTCTACAGTGAATCCAAACGGAGACAAATGAAAATCTACTTCCCAATTTTTACAATTCTGAGATCTTGTTCTTTATAAAATAAAATTATTTCAAATTCTCTAGAGAGTGCGTAAAAAAGACGCCGGAAAGGGGTGATTTTCCAGGATATTCATAATCTTAATTATAATAGTAGGGATTGAAGTTTAACTCTTGGAAAACTCGCATAATCTTTGAATTGTTTGAACAGTGCTGAGAAGGACTATCTATGACTGTAAATATGGATTCAATAGGAAGAAAACTTAAAATTGTAGCTTGTGATAGTCCAAGTTTAAAATAGCCTTTTGCTTATCTTTAATAAATAAACTTGATCACAAAATCAAAAGAAAGTTAAGACTTAAGCAAATGTCTTGGTTAAACAGCAAAAGTTACGCGTTTATTCGCGAAAGTTTCGCGTTATAATGCGAAAGTTACGCGTTTATTCGCGAAAGTTTTGCGTAATAACGCGAAAAATTAATTTTTTTAACCTACCAAAATGAGCTCAATGGGCTTTCGTAATTTTGCAAAAAATAAAATTAAAAAAAAAAAAAAAAAAAAAAAAAGAAAAAAAAAAACCGGCATATTTACGATTTTGCTGTTCCTGAAGGGAGGAAGCTTCAGTTCCAACTTCTTTCAGTACCAAATTGTTTTACTCAAACATATACTACCTTCATTTGACTATACTGCAACAAAAGAGGATGGAAAGGGGGGGATAGACTGGACTTTCAGACTTTCATTTTACATTTTCTATAGTAAAATGTTTGTCTGTAAAAAAAAATTAAGACACAGGCCCCCGATGCTACATGTACGTGCCTGCCTTGGGGGTAATTATGGTGTCCGGATAGGGCCATTTGCTAAAACTCATGATCAACAGCGCTTCCAAAAAACACGCCGTCGCGCTTACACACAACACGATTTCACGCGAACACGATTCGCACAACACACTGTCGCGCTAACACACAACACGCTGTCACGCGAACACGAGTTCGCACAACACGCTGTCGCGCTAACGCACAACACACAATACACCTGTGACAAGACCCTTCTAAATAAATAATAATTTTTGACCCCGTGACCTTGAAGTTTAACCTATTTTTTCAATTTGAAAAATTAAAACATTACTATGAATTGGCCATAACTTTTGAATGAGAATAGCTATGAATTTCATATTACACATGTAAATTATCTGTGACAATACCTTCCTAAATATACTATAATTTTTTACCTCGTGACCTTGACCTTGAAAGTTGACCTACTTTTCAAAAACTTTAACCTTGCTCATAACTATTGAATGAGAAGAGATATGGCTTTCATATTAAAGTTGTGTAATGCCTGTGACAAGACCTCTATACTACGATTTTTGTTTGACCCCATGACCTTGACCTTGAAATGTGACATGCTTTTAAAAAACTTTAAACATTACTTAAATTTGCACATAACTTTTGAATGAGAAAAGCTAGGGATTTCATATTAAAGACAAATTATTATCTGTGACAATACCTTTCTATACCTTTCTGTACATCACACCATGATTTTTAACATCGTGACATTGACCTTGATAACGAGTAATAACGCGAAACGTCTTATGTTAAACAAAGACGTAAATGCGTAAGTCTCATTTCATTTCATTTTATGATCTAATTTATTCAGTACAATTTGAAAATAAACGAAACTCTATTTTGAACGTGGACCATCATTAAAAAGCTGCAAATTTAAGTTTTATCGCCATTGGTTGGGTGTGACTTTTCTCTTTTTAAATCTCTTCTACTGTCACATTTTCTCAACGCTGTTCAAATATTTCAAAGTCTATTTGGGTTTTCTAGGAGTGAAGCTTCATATGGTTATGATTTTCGGGGAAATTTTACCCAATTAATTATTTTTGACACTTTTTGAGATTGGCATCTCTGTGATTAGAAACTGGCTAAAACTAAAGATGCGGGGGTCTCTGGATGTATCATACATTTTTCCATGTTGAATATAATTGGTGCCGTTGACAAGCCATGGATTTGCAGGTGAAAGTTTGCTGCAAAACAAGGAAATATTTCGATATCTGAGGGCAGTTAAAATGACGTCGGGCTCGAAATTCCAGCGCATCAGAGTTGAGAGTTCATTGCAAAAATTGTCAACTTTATAGTTATTGTCTTCAGGCTTGATTATTGGACATCTGTGTGTGAATCAGTAAGATTTCTAATACAGTTATCAAACGTGTTGATGTCTTTGAGATTTTCATACTTTGTAGTATGTGATATTATTGCATTGTCATCTGTAGGCGGCATCGAAACCGGGTTGTGCAATAGTCATGTATTTTAGACCATTCTCATGATTTTGATTCTCTACAGCACTATACCCAGTTTTCTTTGGAACGCTGAAAATACGAAGTTAAATAACTATATTTATAAGAATTCAACATTAAATTTTCTTGCAAAGGAATTGGCATCATGTAACAAATCTTGGAAGGAAAATTCACCTGAATTTCCTCAGTTGTTTAATAATAATTTTTCATTGTCCAACGTCTATTTCAGGACATGGATCAAGGTGTAGAAATAGACGATTCTTTATACAGGTAAGGAACTCAGTTAAAATTTTCTTGAAAGCATTGGAATCTGGAAAGAAAGTATAACCAGTGTCAGTGCTCAATGATGATAAATAAATATAGATATTGAAGTTACTTGTGTATGTAACAGGGTCCTATATCTATTTTATTAATCCCTGCTTGTGATTTTTTTTTTTATCTGTTAGTAACTTACTGATTTTACATATTTAAAAATTGGAAAAGCCATTGTCAGACTATTTCTGGGCAATTTAATACTTAAGCATATTGTACGTTTAGCATTTGTATTTACTTTCCTTGTTGCAGCCGACAGCGCTATGTTCTTGGGGACTCTGCTATGAAGCAGATGGCTAACTCATCAATTTTAATCTATGGAATGGGAGGTTTGGGAATTGAAATTGGTGAGTTTAAAAAACAATTTACAGACTGATACTGTTTCATTTCAATCAAATGTTTGCTAAAAATATTTTCAATTTGCAAAAATAACTGTCATATATACTGGGTACATGAAATATTCATCTGTTTTAATTGAGAGTACAAATATTTCTGTATGGAAAAAAATAACACCACATTTCTTTTATGTACATATTGTCTGAATCAGTCTAAATATTTTTCATCATGTATTTTAGGAACAAATAACTGAATGAAATACAAAATAAAAATGTAGGTAGCTAGAAGTTTCGAACCATTATGGAGACTCTTTTAATTTTTCTTCTGTGTTTATTGATTCACAAATCACTAAACAGAAAATTTATATTGTAAGTTTTGGATTTGGACATGGTGTTTTTTAATTTTTTTTTTTTTAATTTTTCAGCTAAGAATATAGTCCTTGCAGGAGTGAAGGTGAGAAATCTTGTTAATGAAAAATATCAGTTCATGTAGATATATACAACACTACAAATACATACTTGGTTGAAAAATTGGATTGAGATAAATTACAAAAAGAAACTATATAAATGAACAATACAAAAATATATTCTTGTAATATTCACATTGAAAGATGAATATCTGTTTCTCAGATATCTGGATCTGCATGATTGTCTTTCAGTTTATGTTTGAAATCATTACTTTCAACAGCTAATTGACTTGAGGGTATATCATTTATTGCTGTAGAAACCTCTTTGGCCTCATATTTCTCTTGCAAATCGAACAAAGAATATGTACTATGAAGAGTATTTTGATACTTCTAGAGTATCTTGATTTTTAAGATAGTATCTTGACTGTTCAGTGAACTTTCACCTTACAGAATATAACCATCCAAGATGGCAGATCGGCGGTGATCCAGGACCTGGGGACTCAGTTCTTCCTGAGGGAGGGGGATATAGGCAGAAACAGGTCCGTGTCTTAGAAGCAATTAGTGACTGAACTGAAGTAAATCAGTCAACCAATAAATCATGTATCTAGTGATGAATACCAGTCATGCTTTAAAACTGAATTTGTACCATATTGACTGAAATAGTAATTAGCCAAATTATTGTAAATGTTTCTTGACAATGTAGTAATCAAATCTTCTATTTGTGACTTTACATAATATATGATAATATAAGTCTATTGATGAGTTTTAAAATTTACAATTTTGTGTCATATCTAAAGTTGAGCATAGAGGAATCACTTTCTGATGTCAGTCTTCTTTTTATCAAGGAATAACCTTCTATAAGTGCTATAAAAACATCTATAGTATGATATAACTTTTTTGATTACCAGAGCTGAGTCCAGTGGTCCCAGGTTATCTGAACTGAATCCATACGTGTCTCTCACTGCTCTGACAACAATCTTAGAGGTCGGCTCGGACCTCAATTATCTCAAAAAATTTCAGGTAAGTCATAAAACGTTCACTGTGATATAGTGCTCATCTCTACCTTGTTAATGAAAACAATTATTCTAAAGTCATTTTCTCTCAAATGTGCCTTGCCAATTTTTCATAATCATGAATGAAATTTGTTTGCTTCAGTCAGTAGATGATGCATGTATTTTTTTTATTGTGTGATATTTTTGATTGATATATATAATTAACCCTGTGTGTTTGAGTTATTCAGTAAATGATGTAAGCCTTTTTTTTCAGTGTGTGATACTGACAGAGGCTCCACTAAGTGTTCAGATTCGAGTGAACAACTTCTGTAGACAACAGATCCCTCCGATCAGAGTATGTATCATGTATTAGAATTAAATTTCTCTCAACAACATCTGTAGGCATCACATTTATTTTAATCAATTTCAAAGTGAAAGTGAGAAGGGAGGGGGTTACTCTTAAGCTACCTGTATCTTGCTGTATAGCAGAAAGATCTGAAATTCTTTTTGCATTGGTAATTTTATTTCATTAAATAAGTTTTATTAATTTTGATGAAGTAGCAATTTCATTTATTTGATTCATTTTATTTTTGTATCTTTATCAAGAAAATTAGATTAACATTGTATGAGGATTTGTCTTAAAACCCGGTATATTCAACCAGCATAAACAGGTGATAGATACTTGATCATGTTGATATGTGGAAGATCTAGGTAAAAAAATAATGAATGAATTGACCAGGACATTGGTTCAAATGTTTCAGAAATATATGTTATCTTTCTTGCAGTTTATATCAGCTGATGTTTTTGGAGTGTGTTGTGGCACATTTTGTGATTTTGGAGACAGATTTGAAATTATGGATATAGATGGAGAAGACCCCAAAGAGGTCTTAATAGAAAAAATTACCAAAGTGAGTAATACAGCCTAAAAAGTGTCAATGGCTTTATTGATAACATGCTGAATTTCTAGGAATTGCCTATAATTTGGATAATGAGTTTTGGAGGAGAAATTCAACTTTATAATGGCCCATATATACAGTAAATGAAGTAACAAGATCAAAAATAAATTTGTGTTTTATTACGTGATTCCATACTTTAGGAGGGATGTATAAACTGGAGGAATTTATATTGTTGAATTCAAAGCTCTCAAATATTTCTAAATTTTATTTCCCAAACAACTATACTTCTCAAGCTAATGTTATATGTGAAAGGAAATTTTTTTTTTTTCATTTTATAATTGACAGGATAATCCTGGAATAGTGACATGCTTTAACAATAAAATGCACGGTTTTGAATCTGGAGACCATGTGACCTTTAGAGAAATTAATGGAATGACAGCCCTAAATGGTTACACTTGTCAAATTAAAGGTAAGTTATGAGATGTGACTCGTATATACTACATACCAGTACAAATAAAAATACATACAAACCTGTACAAATAAAAAGGGGGTTCAATTTCCAGAAATAATGTGTAATTTGCATGAAACATGAAATTTCCCCTTTTTGAAGTACATAAATACAATAAGTTAACTGAAGAAGTATTTGAGATTATACAGTAGAAAGAAAATCCCATTAGAAAAATTAAGTATTTGTTGTTTTTCCTAGTGACGTCACCTTACACCTTTGAAATCTGTGACACATCGGGACAAGACTTCGCTCCTTATGAACATGGTGGAATTGTCAAGCAGGTCAAAGTGTCTAAAATGATATCATTTGTAAGTCAGAGCTAATTGTACCTTCACTTGAAATTTTATCTTAAAGGAAAGTTTTTTTTTCTGTGGATTAAAACTGTTTTATGTGGTCCCTCTTAAATTTTTTTTTGGATTCCATTTATTAATAATAATTGCAATTAATAAAAGTTTAGGTTAAAAAATATATGATTTAATTTTGTTTTAACTCATCATTTGATTGAATAAAATAATTATATAGTATAACATGTGCTGCTTATGTCACAGTAACTTATGGGTGACTAAATAATGACAAATATCATGTACTTTGTTCAGTTTGTCTCTAGCATTCAGAGGGCATAACCCTAACCCTAATTCTCAAATTTTACATGTTCTAATTGATATGATCATTCTATACATTATTTTAAAAGATGAGAACTGGGCAGTGAAAAAGTTCAAAGAAAACTCATTCAATGAAATTTAAATGTAATGCCTTTATAGCTCACCTGAGCCAAATGCTTTATATTGAAGCATCTGTCCAAATCATGACACTGGGGGTAGGGTGGGGGCACAATAATACATCAGAATATATAGGGAAATAATCAGATGAAGAATGGAATGGTCATAGCTACTTAGGTGAACATTGTTGCCCATGGGCCTCTAGTTCTTGCTTGCATTTGATACTGATGCAGTTTTCAATGATTTGAAATGATAACACATTGCTCTAGTTGACTTTATAATTATAGATTTCTCTGTTGAATTTACACAGCAAAAATTGACCATTAGGTATACTGTTCTTTGCAATGCTAGACCTGAATCAAGAGTATACAGGTAATACCAGTATAATCTTAGATTATTTAAATGTATTTATTTTTCTCCAGAAATCTTTGGAACAAGAATTAAGGAATCCCTCTCTTCTTGTCCCAGACCTTTGTAAGTTTGAGGTAAGCACTAGAAACAGATTTTTTAATGTGGGAATTCTCAAACACAGTGATGTGAGCAATTAGTGTATTTAAAATTTAATGTTTTTGTGGGTTTTATGTTGCCAAACTAAAAAAATTCTAATTCTTTTCAGGCTCCTACTAATTTACATTTAGGTTTTCTGGCTCTACATCAATTTTATGAGACATTTAAACGTTTTCCAAATGTTTGGTAAGTTTGCTCTTTATTCTGTTGGATTACATAATTTTTAGTATAAATTCCATAGCAATATGTTTGCAGCAAAAGTTTTGAAACTGATAATACATTTAAATCACTAGAATACATTTATAGGACTGGTTTACCAGGGTCTCGTGTATGACGCACACACAAAGTAGATATTTTTTCATAAGTGTATAGATAACATCTTTTTTTCTGGAAATCTATGATGTATTCTAGATTTGAATTACTGCAGATACTAAATATTTCTGTATGCATTCTGATTAAATTGCTAAATCAGTCAGTTAGATGAAGTATACACATGTCTTTACTAGAGTTCTGTTTCTTAACTACAGGAATATGGAGGATGCCAACAATATTATATCCATTGCTACTTCACTGAACACTCAACTAGTCAATCAGGTAAAGTTGTAACATTTTGTCATTAAATATTTTGTACTGCAATGATTGTGTCTTTATGTTCACTGTAATGTTATTAGTTTATTTAGAGTATGTACATTTTTGGTCCTCTTGGTCTGACTCCAACTTTGAGGGACAGTAGTCTGGATACATGTGTGTTTCCTGACGTTGTGTCCTTGCCTCACCTTGTTAAGGGACTTCAACCCTCAGCCAGGAAGGACAACTCTTTAATTTATAATTTAATTCAAAAAGTCTTTAAATGAAGCTTGAAAATTAAATCTTTTCATGCAACAATTTTCATTATATGCCTCTCAATGTGCTTCAAGGTTCTTTGCAAAGCTCCATAAATTACTTCTAATTTCTTATCATGTTAATAAACATTGGTATCTAAAAATGCTTTTTCGGGATAAAAATTTCTACTTTTACCTGGTAATTAGATCTTTCTGAGAAGTTTAAAGAACCTTGAAGCACATTGAGAGGCATATAATGAAAATTGTTGCATGAAAAGATTTAATTTTCAAGCTTCATTTAAAGACTTTTTAGGTCACCTGAGTAAACTCAGGTGACCTATTGCTATCCGTTTTCGTCTGTCGTCGTACGTCTTTCGTAAACTTTTGAACATTTTCAGCTTCTTCTCTGGAACCACTGAACCAATTTCAACCAAATTTGGTATACAGCATCTATGGGTAAAGGGGAACAAAAATTATGAATTTCATGGTCCCTGCCCCCCTGGGGCCTAAGGGGTGGGGCCAAAACCACTAAAATTAATGCAATCTTTAAAAATCTTCTTCTTTACTCCTGGACATCAAGCAGTCAAACTGTTGGCATGAATGTAATCAGCATTGAGTCCTCTACCAAAATTGTGAAATTCATGGCCCCAGGGTCAGGCGTTCTAGTGCTAGGGCGGGGCTATATAGATTATATAGTGAAAATGCATTATTTCTTTGAAAATCTTCTTCTCTGCTCCTTGGTATTAAATATGCTAACTAAGTACAAAGTTATGCTGAGCAAGAGTGCTTCTTCCTGATTTGTGAATTTTATGGCCCCAGGGTCAGGGGTTCTGGTGTTAGGGTGGGGCTCTATAGATTATATAGTGAAAATGCATTAATTCTTTGAATATCTTCTTCTCAGCTTCTGAGAATTAAATAATTTAAAACTAAATAAGCAAATAGTAATGATAAGCAAGAGTGCCTTTTCCAATATTTTGAATTTTATGGCCCCAGGGTCAGGGGTTCTGGTGTTAGGGTGGGGCTCTATTGATCATATAGTGAAAATGCATTATTCTTTGAAAATCTTCTTCTCTGCTTCTGGGTATTAAATAAACTAACTAAGTACATAGTTTTGATGAGCAAGAGTGCCTCTTCTAAAATTTTGAATTTTATGGCCCCAGGGTCAGGGGTTCTGGTGTTAGGGTGGGGCTCTATTGATTATATAGTAAAAATACATTTATTCTTTGAAAGTATTTTCCTTTGCTTCTGGGTTTTATGCCAATGATCCAAGTATATACATCTACATGTATATTTATGATGAAGAAAGGTGCATCTAGCAAAGTGGTTTTTTTTATGACCCCTGGGTCAGAGGGGGGGGGGGGTTACATAGTCTGAAAATGAATTAATGCTTTGAAATCTGCTCTTTACTATTAATCAACCATTTTATGATAAAATTTGCAAAATTTTGAAATATGTGGGCCCTGGGTCAGTGGTTCATTTGGTGGGGTGAGGTACACAACTGGTTTTAAAGTGGAAATGCATTTTCTCTTTGTTACCCGGTATACTTATTTACCTCTGGGTATCAAGTAAATAGAGTAAGCATGCTAAGTTAATAATTATGATAAGCAATGGTGCCTCTTTCAAAATTGTGAATTGTGAATTTCATGGCCTCTGGTTTAAAACATGAACCAAATTTAATTGTTTGAAAGTTGTTACACAATACTCAGGTGACCTATAAGGCCCGTGGGCCTCTTGTTGAATTAAATTATAAATTAAAAAGTTGTCAATCCTGGCTGAGGGTCGGAGTCCCTTAATCCTCTCTCACTACTGGCTACTGATATTGATGTGGGGATAAACCCTGTCCCCACAAGCATTCTGTCCATTAGGATCCTTCAGATCTTATTCCTTATTTCTGAACAAGGTTTTTATAAACCTTATCTGATACTGTAATTATTTTGTAGGTAGCTGATATAGATGAGTATGTGTTAAGAGTTCTGTCCTACACCTGTCACGGTTGTTTGGCACCGCTGTGTGCAGCGCTGGGAGGATTTGTCGCACAGGAAGGAATCAAAGCAGTAACTGGGAAATTTACACCTTTACGACAGTGGGTAAGAAAACAAATTTACTGGCCAGGGCAGTGGTTTTATGAAATTAGTTAGTACATTGTATTTTTAGTATGACTTTACCTGTATCTTTGACAGTTATACCTGGACTGTAGAGAGGTTGTACCTAAGGAGGACGCAGGTGCCTCCGACATATTTACACCAAGGTATGGTCACAAATCTTACCATGTGAAATCTATATTTATCTAATCCTGACGACTTGATGTCTCAATAAACTACAGTATTTTGACATTATGAATAATTTAAGGAAGTGGTATTAGTTAAATTTTGTTGAATCCAGACAGAATCTTTGGTGACCAGATTAAACCAATTTTACTGTATGATTATAGAAATGACAGATATGATGCCCAAAGAATATGTCTGGGACAGAGGAAATGTGACATGTTGGCTCAGCTCAAACTCTTCATGGTAAGTCTAATGAAAAATCATCAAAATACAAGTATACATGTATTTACATTGTATTAAAAACATTTTGTAGAATCTTCAGAAATACATAATAATATGTGAACCATCAGATTTAAAGACAACACAGTTTTATTACAAGACATTTAGAGTAGACAAAAAGGTTGTGGCAAACTTTGAAAGGGCAGTAATTTCCCACTTGTTCTCAATTGCATTTTGACAATTAAGTTAAGCATTTGTTTGTAAAAAAACTAAGTGTTTTTAATGTGACAACTAAGTATTCCTTTTGCATGGTATACAGGTGGGCTGTGGAGCTATTGGCTGTGAGATGTTGAAGAACTACGCTCTATTAGGAATAGGAAGGAAGCAGCAGGGATGTGTGAGTAGTTTAAACTTGTTTTTCTTTTAAAAAACCTGATTATTAAAAAAAGTCAAAATAATGGGCTGAATGCTGGGAGGATGGACTGCTGCCAGAATGATACATCATTTGTCTGGATAACTCCTAGAGGAGCTTTTAAGATAGGAAGTTTTTATTTTGTAGATCAGTTGTATATAGTTTTGGTATTCTAATTTTTGATAAATTTTTTTTTTGGGGGGGGGGGGGGATAATACCAGTTCTTAAAACTCAATTTGCTAGCTGTCACATAGACAAATTTTCCATAAAAGTAATAGAAAAGTTAGAATTCCTGAAATGTTGTATGAGTCAGAGACAATTTTTTACTGTCAAGATTTAGTTAATTTGCTTGATGCAACACTTATTGCCCCCCCCCCCCCCCCTCTGCCCCAACCAAAAAGAGGTTAAATAGTAACATATTTTGTATGATTTTGTTGTAGATAACAATAACAGATAATGATCTGATTGAGAAGTCTAATCTGAACAGACAGTTTTTATTCCGACCAGCTGACATTCAGGTACAGGTTGTTTCATTTTATCTAGTACATGGACATCTTTCTATATACATGTATAGCCAAAAAAACTCCTTTTAGAGGGATTGATAAAAAAACTTATTTTTTTATCATTTCATAGCAAATTGGTAATGTGTGTATGTCACATCTTCGTGAAATTGATGGTATTGAAATCAGATAAGATTACAGCAATGAACAATTGCCATGCATAAAAATATTAGACCTTAGATTTTGAATATTCTTATAATATTTTTTGTATATGTTGCCGATTTCAGAAACCTAAGAGTACTACAGCAGCAGGGGCAGTCCTAAATATTAATGCAGGTATGGTATTAAAAATGACAATTGTCAATACACTTACTAACACACTGTCAATCAAATTTTGCAAAAAGCTTTCCTAGGTGTCAGAGGCGAATTCAAGTATAATCGTCCTGGAAAAGCTATTACTTATGCAAAAAGAGATAATTAGGAAGTAGGGAAAAAGGATAGGGACTTTCACAGATCATTTCCTTCATTGGGGTCAGAAAAGATCAAGAGTGCAGTAAATCTTTTGGCCTCTTGCTTGTGTCGAATCATTACTACAGATCTAATGTTGAATGAGTTAGGTTTGTGGACTATTTACAGAAGTGATTTTTTCTTCAATTTTAGATCTGAACATAGAGGCACAACAGCATAAAGGTATTAAAACTGGCTTGTCAATTTTGTAAAAATAACAAAAATGTGTGGTTGATAATTTATTGTTATGTATTCATCTTTTTTATTTCACTTTGTAATCAATAAGCTGCATTGATAAATCAGTATTATCATTAATTGTAACTGAATTCGATAGATGTGATCAGTAATAAATATAAAGATTTACTTCTAGTTATATGCAGCTCTGTGACCCTGCACTTAGACTTTGCTTGGTTTTGATTTTAGTTTGTCCTCAGACAGAAGACAAGGTTTATAACGATGCCTTCTTTGAGAACCAAAGCCTGGTAGTCAATGCTTTAGATAACATTGAGGCTCGGCGATATGTAGACAGGTCTGTTATAATTTTTTAAGATAAATTTTAGGTTTAAGGGTAAATGTTTGTATATAATATTATGGGATAAAAGAGTTGATTGAAAGTGTTCATAAGATATCAAATACCGGTAGATCAATTAACTTGAAAAAAATGTAAAATAGTTTAAGACTAACAAAAGTTACTTCAAAAAATGAAAAATAGGTTAATAAAAATTAATTAGAAAAAGAAAAAAGTTTTTAAAAGTATTAAATATATTTATTGAGTCAATATGTCGGTCTATGTATGATGTCTGTAAAATCATTAAAATAAATGAACAAAAATGTGTACTTTTGTATTGATAAATAATGCAGTCGCTGTGTGACCAATCAGAGAGCTCTGTTAGAGTCTGGAACTCTGGGAACTAAAGGTCATGTCCAGGTCATTGTTCCTCACATGACAGAGTCATACAGCAGTCAGGTAACACACATGTTTTAGAAGACATTAGTGTAGATTCTTTAGGATTGATGTAAAGATAAATATGATAAGTTTGAATCATGAAATCTGTGTTAGTGAAAGAGTAACAAGGATTTTTGTCATGTTTACTGGTTTTAACAATAGAATATTGTCAGAAAAGAAACAATTTCATACCTAATATTGAGGTCTTTGCTTGTATCTTGATGTGTTTGTTATGGTCTTTGATTTTAACAAATAGAATGACCCTAGAGATGAAAGTGTACCTTACTGTACTTTGAAATCCTTCCCAGTAAATATAGAACACTGCATACAGTGGGCCAGAGACAAGGTAATACAATAAAGCTGAAAATCTCTACTGATTTTTTTTTAAACATGAACATATTTGTATACTTGTATATATATCTGTATTAAAAATCATTTCTTGTCCATGTGTAAGTTATTTATTTGCAGTTTGAGAGTTCCTTTACTGGGAAGCCTGACTTGTTTAACAAGTTCTGGAAACAGAATGGAGAAGTTACTTCTGTAATACAAGTAAGAAGACACATTATGTAACCTCTCCTTCATAAATAAAGTTAAAGTGTTTCTTGATTTTTTATTGATATGTGTTCAGATATTGAGTTTGGAAAGGCAGTTTTGGAAGGATGACTATATAAGCTTATTTTTAGCATATCTGAAGGATAAATAGAAACAATATGTCAGGGAAGTTTCATGTTTTGATAATAACAGCATATTTATGAAATGTGTTAAAATAAAATCTTATTTATATGAGTCATTTCAACGAAGTGTGCAATTGGTTGTGTTAAATATGAATCTAAGTAAAATTGGGAGACATGGTTTTCTAACGTGCCAGATTTTTTTCTGTAGAAACTAAAGGATGGACAATCAGTAGATGGCGCTGTTCAGGTCAGTAAAATGGTGGCCAACCGGAGCGCCACCTGGTGTCAGTGTGTACAGCTGGCAAGACTCAAGTTCCAGAAGTATTTTAATCACAAGGTAAGGAGATAGGCACAGATCTTATCTAATTCTGGAATATAGCAGACAAATTATCTCTAATGACTTTAATGTGTTGTGAGCCCAAATTCATGATACTTGGTCCAGGACTCAATGGAGCTTAATAATTTATTAGTAACATTAACTGCCATTGTTTGATTTAACCAGGGACCTATGTACATGTACTATTTCAATAGGCAACTCTTGCAGGTCTCAAAATATCTCAAAAGTTGCTGGATATAGTCAATTTTAATTATATATAGGTCCATGATATATTATAACCATGTGCCCGACCACCTAAGGTGCATTTATTTTAAATTCAAATCAAATCTTATTCTATCATCACTCGAATTGCATGTTAAAAACTTGTTTAACATTTGCTTTGATATTAAAATTGTTTCATATTAATTTATTGCAAAGCTTAAAACATAGATGAACTGACTTTTGATCTGGTTCACATTTCCACAAAATAATGTAGTTGTAATTTTTCTTGAGCACATCTTAATGATACTGAAATTTTTTCTAGGCAAAACACCTGCTTCACATGTTCCCACTTGACACGAAAATGCAGGATGGCTGTGAGTAAATCATACCATATTACCACTACTCTCTATTTAATTAAGAAAACTTTTAAAACTAAACATTTCAATTAGGCAATGAATGTTTGTGAAGTCAGAAATTTAAATGCAACAGGCATGCATGATTTCACAGAAGTGCTTGTTATAACTCAGTTTTGTACCATGTGTTGTATAAATAGAATGCTGTAGTTTATAAATGTACGATATTTATGTATTCAATGTTTATTGAACAGTTTACAAATTGAGTCTGTGGAAAAAAAAACAGGTAAGGTTTACTTGGTCACAGAATTATTAAGAAAGGGCTCTTCATATGTTGTATCCTGCATCCCATTGTAAATTTCAGCCTTGTTTTGGCAGTCTCCCAAAAGACCCCCAGTCCCCCAGGAGTTTGACATACACAACCCTCTGTAAGTTCCTTACTCTGTATATATTATATTTCAAGTGAAACAAAAAATACAAACATTTTTATACTTGAAGAAAAAGTGATACTTTTTGTACAAAGCATATATAATAATGAAATATCAAAGTTGCATGTATTTTATAAATTCTGCAATGTGATAAATATTCATGTAAGATATGTACTTTTGATAAAGTGTATTTAATTGTTTCAGACATCTCCTATTTATAGTCAGTACAGCTCGCCTGTATGCAGGCATGTTCAATATTCCTGTTTCCTCAGTCGTGAGTTGAATTCTTTTGATATTTTTTTTTTTAAATTTCTCATTTAGAGTTGGGATAACTTCTTATTAAAATCCAGATTTGAAATGATTTATGCTTATAAGAGATTGTCAGGAACAACTAGTTTTGATTTGATATATTATAAATATGATTTAAATATCTGTCAAGTGCATATTAATATATTTTAAAACTACAGAAAATTAAAATCACTTTGCCATAAGCATGATTCATTACAAGTTTGTTTTATTGTACAAATAACTGAGTGGGTAGTAATGTTTTTCACATGTAAATATTTGTCAGTATGTTGTCAAGTCCAGTTATGATGAGTGATATATTTCATTTGTTGCAGATATTCTGAAATTTACGGATAAATCTCTAGTAAAGAGAATTTCTTTTGAGCTTTGATCTAGTACATTATATCTACAAAATTGTTTATCAATTTTAGGACACATCATTTGAGACAATTAATTCAATTTTACAAAATATGAAAATTCCTGAATACAGACCAACAAACAAGGTAAATTAAATTGTTAGTTTATTTTATAAAGTTACAATGTCAGAACATTTTGATGGTAAATAAATAAGATGATATGTATCAGGATTCTGTTTAAGGTTTTCTTAGTTCACATTACAAGAAATATTTTATATGATACAAGTATCTATTGGTATATGCATTAAGAGTAAATTTAACCTTTTCATTAATGAAAATACAATTTGAAATACTATAATAGCAAGCTGAAAGGATTTAATATGAAATGATTCTAAAGCTGTATGACCTTGGTTTTAGAAAATAGTGACAGATGAGTCGGCCTCTAAGCCAATGGAGGCAACAGGGAGTGGAGATGATCTGTTAGATGCTGCTAACCGTCTGCAGTCTACACTGAGTGGAGCAGACATCACACAGGGTAAGTAGCTAACCGTCTGCAGTCTACACTGAGTGGAGCAGACATCACACAGGGTAAGTAGCTAACCGTCTGCAGTCTACACTGAGTGGAGCAGACGTCACACAGGGTAAGTAGCTAACCGTCTGCAGTCTACACTGAGTGGAGCAGATGTCACACAGGGTAAGTAGCTAACCGTCTGCAGTCAACACTGAGTGGAGCAGATGTCACACAGGGTAAGTAGCTAACTGTCTGCAGTCAACACTGAGTGGAGCAGACGTCACACAGGGTAAGTAGCTAACCGTCTGCAGTCAACACTGAGTGGAGCAGATGTCACACAGGGTAAGTAGCTAACTGTCTGCAGTCTACACTGAGTGGAGCAGATGTCACACAGTGTAAGTAGCTAACTGTCTGCAGTCAACACTGAGTGGAGCAGATGTCACACAGGGTAAGTAGCTAACTGTCTGCAGTCTACACTGAGTGGAGCAGATGTCACACAGGGTAAGTAGCTAACTGTCTGCAGTCAACACTGAGTGGAGCAGATGTCACACAGGGTAAGTAGCTAATTGTCTGCAGTCAACACTGAGTGGAGCAGATGTCACACATGGTAAGTAGCTAACCGTCTGCAGTCAACACTGAGTGGAGCAGATGTCACACAGGGTAAGTAGCTAACCGTCTGCAGTCTACACTGAGTGGAGCAGACGTCACACAGGGTAAAATAAGTGTAGCTAATTGTCTGCAGTCTACACTGAGTGGAGCAGACGTCACACAGGGTAAGTAGCTAACCATCTGCAGTCAACACTGAGTGAAGCAGACATCAAACAAGGTAAGTAGCTAACCGTCTGCAGTCAACACTGAGTGGAGCAGATGTCACACAGGGTAAGTAGCTAACTGTCTGCAGTCTACACTGAGTGGAGCAGACGTCACACAGGGTAAGTAGCTAACCGTCTGCAGTCTACACTGAGTGGAGCAGACGTCACACAAGGTAAAATAAGTGTAGCTAATTGCCTGCAGTCTACACTGAGTGAAGACAGTCAATCAGATTTGTACCTGCAACTCTAAAGTGAAGCAGGCATTACTCAAGATAATCATCCTTGGATGTTAGACAATTTTTTTGTCCAGTGTACATGTATCTTGTGTAATAAATGTGTGTAATTCAGAATTTGAAATACTCTGCATACACACAACAACAAAAATCTCTCTCTTTTTAGTTCTGAGTCCAATGAATCCAGCAGAGTTTGAGAAGGATGATGACACCAATGGACACATTGACTTCATAGCAGCAGCTTCAGTGAGTAGAGATATATTTCGTATCCAGTAAAACTTGTTTAATCTTTACACTAATGGTTCAAAAAGAAATCGGCCAGATTGACAGCATTCTGGATTAGACAGTATTTTAAACAAATGAATATTCTGAAAAGGACTGAAAATTTACATCGTATTAGCCAAGATTTTGGATTATACAACACTGGGATAAAACAAGTTTCACTGTATATCAGAAAACTTAACTCCATGTAATCACATGATTTATGATGATTATCTCTGACTGCAGAACTTGCGAGGAGCCATGTATAAGATAGACAGCATTGACCGCCTCAAAGCCAAGAGGATTGCTGGTAGAATTGTTCCTGCAATAGCCACCACCACAGCTACAGTCAGTGGATTGGTCAGTACAAATATCAATTGACCCTTGTACATGCAATGTCATGGACTTATATATTCTTGTTTCAAGCACTACTTCCACTTTTTTTTACTTTAGTCAATAAATAAACAAAGCAAGTTTGGAGAACAGCCATATGAATTAGTTGCAAATTAATAATCACAACCAACTTTGATCTAAATGTTTTTATCCACCATGACAGGTGACAGTGGAGCTGATAAAAGTGATGGAGAATTTACCTCTAGAGGTGTACAAGAATGCCTTCCTGAACTTAGCTCTACCAATAATTGTACTGTCAGAACCCGGCCCAGCCGAGAAAACAGTCATCAAGTAAGATTGTTACTCCAGCTAAATTATCTACCAATAATAGTACTGTCAGAACCCGGCCCAGTGGAGAAAACAGTCATCAAGTAAGATTGTTACTCCAGCAAAATTATCTACCAAGCATGTATCCAGTGTGAAATATAAGCAGATTTTAATGACAATAATGAATAACATTTGTAGGATTTCACATAACATAATATATGGATGTTTTTAATGAACTATGCAATAAACATTTTCATAAAATAACACATGCCCAAAATAAGGATTTGTAACAAACATTCATTACACACTAATTTATCATCATTCAAGTTCACAACATCTACATTTATTTCAGAAGAAAATTCTTAAAACATCGCTAATTGAATAGATAGATAAGCATATATATAGCTGAATTTCAAGTAGATACCTGGTATGCCAACATGTACTTGTGTATATGTTTAAATACACCATTAAGTTGTCTATCTGTGGTTACAGGGAAGGTTTGACAGTGACAATGTGGGACCGGTGGGAGGTTCATGGAACAGCTGATTTCACACTTCAACAATTTTTGCAACACTTCAAGGTACTGAAGTACCCGGTATAAACATGTTGTGTTGCCACTTCAAGGTGGTATTACACCTTTAGCTTCAGTCTGTATAGCACTTGATTTTACAAAAATTCTCATAATTTTAATTTTTTTGATGTGAAGAAAATCTGAAAACAGATATAAGGTGTGTAAATTGCTCTATTATCATTGTAGGATAAATATGGTTTTGAGGTAACCATGGTCAGCCATGGAGTGAAAATGGTGTATGTTCCGTTCATGCCTGGTCATAAAAAACGACTGCCACAGCAGTAAGTAAATAGTATTCATAAAGTGATGATATTGCCAGTAACAGTTTCTATTAAGGAAAACATTTTAATGGCCTTATCATTCGAGTCACATTACAATGGAAAATTGTTTGCCCCTTTGATTTATTTATTATGAACACTTTAGATAAGAATGAAGTACATGTATAGATTTTATATCAATTCAAATGTTATGGAACCCCCCCCCCCCCTTCAAAACCACACATCATAAAGAATTTTTTAAAAGTATTTTTGTCATTCCTAGTTAAAGTTGTCAGTTCTCTTATTGTTGTAGGATGTTGAAGCTGTTGAAACCCTCGCCTGGTCAGTTGTACATGGACTTGATTATAAATCTAGAGGGAAGTGAGGATGACGATATCGCATGTCCTCCTGTTCGCTACTACTTTGGAGTTTAACAACAGTTGATAATAGGAACATTTTTAATTAGTGCTATTTTAAAAGAAAACATTTCCATAAGGCCTAAGAAAAAAATGGTTTGTTTATGGTCACCTTACCAACCTTCATCCCTTGCACAGATGAATACGATATATTGGTGTGTGTATGCAAAGTTTAAAAATTGCATGTATTTATATTTTTCCTCAAATGTGTAGGTTTATGGGTTGTACGAGGTCATCTTTCAGTAGCAGCCTGTTCCTGAGCTGTCACTTTGGGTGGATTTGAAAAAAAAATGACAGGGAGAATCTTCAAATTGTCTTTAAAAATTTCAAAGTTATTCCTTTATGTTCAAATTAAAAAGAGAAAGAACCAAAATCTTACTTATCAATCCTATTTTTATGACCAAAATATTAACCTATTTAATAACCCTATATTTATGAGATTGTAAAAGAAACAAACACTTTTTTTTCTTAGGCCTGCTTAACTTATCTGTTTCTGTATTTTATTTATGTACTTTACAAATTTTTACATTATTGATATTCTCAAAACGCTGCAAGTGCACTTACTTTTATTTCAAAAATATAGTAGGACACCTGAAGGTCATTCAAGGACAAGTTAGGGCAATATCTAGTTAAGGTAATTTGAATCTTGGTACACTTGCAGTATGTCTGGGGATTACTAGTATCTTGTCATGAATAAAAAAAAAGTGGTCTCTATCTGTCTGATTTGACAGAGTGGAGAAATTTCTGTCTGGTGGATCAAGAAGCAGCTGATAATAAGCTAAGCATCAGCCTTAAATTTGACAGAGTTTGAACACATGTTGCCTCCACTTTGTAAGTGGGGAACAAATGAGCAGAAGAATGTTGATTATTTACATATACAGTGCATGTATACTTCATTTCAAGCAGATATTCACATCATATACTAGTCAGGATTACCTTGAGTAAACCAAAACAAGGCATCAGTACATGTACACTAAAGAGTTCTAATTCTCTGAAACTTTTATGTCATAAGAGTAGCTGCCTTTTGATTTGAAATTGGGCCATGAAATGTTCAGTTTGTGATCACACTAATATACAAGACTAAGCTTGATTAAATGCTATTTTATGCATGTTATTTCTTGAAGTAGCAACACTGATTTCTGTTCATAAATATGTTTTCTTTGAGAGCATTTGCCTGGGTGAGAATGATAGCTTTGTGTACATTATCAAGATTGAAAATAAATACATCAACTCCATATATTTATACTTTTTCACAATTTCATTTTTTCGAGGCCCAAAACAGAGAGATAAAAGACATCAGAAACAAAATTAAAGGAGACTACGGGGCACTTGCTGAGTAAAAATTAGCATATACCTCAGAATCTTTCCCTTGAGTAAAAGTGCATGACATAACTGTGAATCTATTCAACACACATATTTTAAAAGTAGCCATTATTTTAAGAAAGTTGAGTTAAATGATAGTGATTTAGTGAAATTCACCGGTCCACACAAATATTCACTGGTCCATCAACAAACCAAATTAAAAAAAAAAATGTTTTAAATCCAGTTAGGCCTTAAAAAAATCGAAGGGTCAAATATCCCCGGACTGAATTAACCAGGTGTGATATTTACGAGGGTTGTTCAATAAATAATGTCCTGAACTGTGTGACATACAATACAGATATCATATGACATTAAACTTGACTTTCTCTCATAATTGAATCTTTAATAAATTTATAAAAGTTTATGTGACCACTTTTCATCACATAGTTTCATTGTGAGAATCTGGGAAACAAGGGCTATTCGAGACACTGCGTTATAAATGAATGGTAAAGAATCGGTAAACTAGAGTGAAAATAAAAGCTTCATCAAAGCTGCTGTAAAACTTGTTGAAAATCCCAAAGAAATATTCACTGAAATATGTGTCATTTACAGCAACCAATGCCTGTTTTATAGACAAATGAGCAGGTGGATTTCAATGATAGAAAATTATTTAATGGGCATCAAAAATGGGTACCGTCCTTGCCAACAAAAAATTATAACAACTTATGTACTGTTTGCCAAATTTCAACAAATAATACTTGATGATGTAGGATTAACTTTAAGATACAAAGCAAATTTGATAGACATAACATCGGGGGTAGTTTACACTTTTTTAAAGAAACGTTTGACGGTAAAAAAGCTTAGTACTCAAAGGTCATCCTATATTTTAAAAAAATGAGTGAAAACGACAGCGTGTACAAATGTCTTTCTATTTTTTAAAAAAAAAAATCAGTAATTGGAGTTATCCACGTTTTTTTATGTTCAAACATATAATGGAACTTGGATCTATTGTTTAAATTCCTCAAAACAAAATTTACCATAAGATGTACTTGACAAAAACAGCGAAGGTCTGGCGAGAGCAAGGAATTGCAAGAGTACAAAGACAGATTTATATGCAATTTTCTTAAATATTAATGGTATTGTTGTTCGAAATCGTATTCGGGGTGACAGTTTAACTTCTGGAGGAGTCTAGAAAGCAAATTGTTTGCAAAAAAATCGAAAGGTTTACTAGAGGAAGAACCCAGAATCAGGAATCCACTACATTAAATTTCTTCATGACAGCGTCCAAACCCGCATGCCCTGAAGAGTAAATGGGTTTTCGGGATAAACAGATACTTAATATTTTTTCACATGAACAATATTCGCCAGATCTTTGACCTTTTGACTTGTTTCTATTTCCAAAACTTGAAAAAAAAACCTTTAATGAGGAAGAAACAAGTCCAGGAAATCATCGGATCTTCCATTTTACAGTATACTAAGGGTCATACCCAAAAATGAGTTCTACAATCAATCAGAAATTAGATAAAAAATGTTACGGACGTGTTTTATTTAAAAGAGATTAATAAGTAAAATAATCAAGACTAAATCATTGAAAAGCGTCTTTTGCTTCTTTCCGAGCACCGAGGACATTATTTATTGAACAGCCCTCGTACAGTAGATACCCAACATGGCTGCCTACCGCAAAAACGAAGTTCAAAATGAGGGGGGGGGATGTTTAATGTAACAAAAGTGATTATTCTAAAACTCTTTATATTTAAGGTAAATGATGATTAGCAATTCGATTGACATATGTTGCACCCCAAATAAAGCTACAATTAACATTTCTGAACAAATTGAATCAGCTGATTGATCGAACATACACAGATATGGCAGAAAAAAATCATGACTAACTGTCGTAAAAGCCCTTGAATTTATTCTTTCATATACACAGATTCAATCCTTCAGACAATCTCACAAATAAACTTAAAATTTAGAGGTGAATAGGTTAATATTCCGGAAAGATCCAATTTTTTTTACCGGTCCCTCGGACCGATTACATGAAGAAAATTACCGGACTTTTGAAATATTACCAGTTTTGCCGGTGGGACCGATGGATTTCAAAAACTCTGGCTGGTCCACTTGACCAGTGAAATTTTTTTTAATTTCAAAAACACTGTAAATCTGATATTTGCCTTATTCACCATTTGCTGCAATGCATGATGTTCTCGATTGCTCCGTTTTTGGCGTTCACCGTCAGTTGCTGAGTAGTCTAGACTGAATAAAGCACAGAATTTAGAAATTTGTCCACATTTTTTTTAGCATTTATAAAGAAAGAGGGCGTATAAGGCGTGGACAATCCCCCCTCGCAGACAAAATGTTTCTCAATTTTCAAAATTCACAGAAAATTTATATTTTTCTAAAATCATGTTCTCAGTTATGTCATCTTCAAAACATTTTATTTTACTGAATGACTTATTATTTGATTATCTTTATTTCAAAGTTGACAGTTAAGCATATTTAGTGGAAAATGGGTTTACTGGAGCTACAAAAAATGAATTTTGAACATGAATGGGTCAAGTCTCCACTCTTCTTTAACGCTTAAATGATGGAAACGTAAATGCGAAATCTATTTCATTCGTCAAAAAAATGAAATCTGTACCCATTCTATATGAAAATCGAAAATTTCTGAAAAAATGTACGCTTCAACAAACCCGTTCATTTAAATCACACTGACAGAAATCGATAATGCATACACTTCGTAGCGTAGTGGTTAAAGCGGTCGGTCTTGGACCAAACCCTGCGCTATGGAGAGAGTTCGAATCATACATGAAGCTTTTTCTTTTTTGTTTTCACATATCTTAAAAACATGAGTGAAAAATAGATTATTAATAAAATATTAAAACAATGAAATACAGAATTAAATGTGCTAAAGATGATATAAACAAAATAAATTTGAAAAAATATAACTTTTAGAATTGAGAAATGTCTTTTCTCAGAGCGGGGGATTGTGCTCGCCTTGTACGCCTCCATTCTTTTTGAATGATATACGGTACTACTAAACGCTAATGAAATTAGCGGTTCATGGGCAGATGGACAGACAAAATAATGATCAATGATCGGGATGCCTGAAAGATGCGAGATGAAATATTGCGTCAATCCTGTGTAGGACAAGATTCCACTGTATTCGGGAACGATGGTAATAGGTCGAAAATTTTTAATCAGTTTGCCGGAAAACATAATTTGTATATTTGAAGCCAATTTCTTTAAAAAAAAAAAATCAAAAGGTAAAAAAGAAAATCACTTACATAGGAATTTGGGGCAAGGCACATTTTAGCAGAATTGCGAAAGGCTTGAATAAACAAACATTTATTAGCAGAAAATGCATACTCAAAGACGTTTAGCTGTTTAGCAGAGGATTCTTAGGACATCGCAGCGGAAGGGAAAACAGTTATCTGTAAAAGTTGATTTTATAATACAGAGGGGTAGACGTATATATATTATACTTATGTTTCGTGATTTACAGATTAACATACGAAGCGCCTATGAGTTCTTTCACTTTAATTCCTCTTTAAAAATCATTGTCATGTTATGTCAGCTAAGCGATCATGGAGGTGATTTGTCCATGAACAGTGCTCAATCTGTCTCGGATAGCAACACGATAATTATTGAGTACTGTGATTGATACGGAAATCGTCAAACCAAAATATACATTTTCATAAATAATAATGGAAAGACAGTATCCTAAAATTTTGTGATAAAATGTTGAGCAGATTTCACCCCCCTCCTTGATAAGACAATGCTTTAATCGTTCCCAGTACGAGTTATTGAAGACATTAATTATTTCTAAATGTAACCTGTAGAAGTAAATCTGTGACAGTTTAAACGTTTTCATTATAATTAAGCGTATCAAGAGAAAAGAGGAACTACTCTGCCGTTTCACTGATTACATTATCATTAAATCGCTTTCACGCAATTTGATTAAGTATTTTTAACGAGCTACTAAAAGGTACACGTTTAAATTATACCATAAGCCTTGTTAAAATTTATTTTAAAAAGACCAATGTTTGTTAATCTGGAAAACTATTCGCTGAAGGAATTGGACTCTACTGATGTCTTGACCGAGTGAAACTTGAAGATGGAGTCCAGTGAGGATTCTAAGGCCAATGTACCGCTATCATCTGCCGCTTCCTCCGCCACCCCAAAGGATCAGACCCCGGCCAGTACACGCGAACCCACTCCTGCCGGACCCGTGAAATGTAGCTCGTGTCCTGATGATGTCACCGCTGCCTTCTTCTGCGACCAGTGTCAAAAATATTACTGTAGGGAATGTCGGGGAAAACATGCCAATGAGGTCGCCAATGGCGCAAAACATAAAATGCGAGATATTTCAACGGGGCTCACTATCGATCTTAAACCAGATGACACAGTGTCCGCGAAATCAACCCCGAGACTTCCTTTTCATCTGCAACAAACTGCGACAAGTCCAGAAACGATCTCTAATTTCCGTGTCAAAGAACCCTTGCCTAACATTGGCCATAGCGTCATGCCTAAGGACCATACTAAGAAGCCTGCAAGAGCAGAGAACAAACAACTTGTTCCTAAATTCCAACGTGAAAGAAGTGAAGCAATGACACCCAGAAGTCAACTTCGTAGATGTTTTTCACATCCAAGTAAAGACGTACAGCTTCATTGCTTAGAATGCAATAAAATCGTTTGTAGCGAATGCATCGTGGAAGGACACCAAAGACACCAGTTCGTAAGCATCTCGGAGGCGGCGACCAAGTTACGAGGCGAGCTCCAATCGCACATTTTGCCAGTAAAGACCTGGTATGAGTCGGACGCGAGGACAGCGATGACGAATCTCAACCTATCGGAAGAGACTTATACAAAGAAGTCTAAGGAGTGCATCGATATTATCAAAAAGAGAGCTGAACAACTACACAAGGACATAGATCGTATCAGGGATGCTTTAGTCGAAGATGTCGAGTCGAAAAACTCTATAGACCTGGAGGAGTACAAGGTTTCAAAGGAAGGCTTAGAAGACCAGATGAAATCGACAGAGGAAGTGATAGGAAACATCGAAATGGCAATCAATGACGCCGAGGACATTAGCATTCTTAGATCAGAAAACGACCTTAGGTCTATGATATCGTCCGTTGATATGAAGATCCAAATTCAAGAGGCCAAACCACCAATATTCTATGCAGGATCGTCGACAGATGAGAGAATCCGAGAACTCTTCGGGCATAATCATCAAGAAAAACCCTTGGCAACAGTGGCCTGGTCCTTGCAAGCAGAAACACTAAAACCCACTCGGGATTTGGACTTAATTCGTGTGTCATCCATTCCATGTTCAGATGGTCAACCAATTCATACAATGGTGCCTCTAGGGGAATCCGAAGTTTGGATGTCCTCCCTTTCTAACCCGAAACAAATCCAACTGGTTGGCGTGGATGGGTCAATGGAAAAACCTGGGGAATTTGATTTTGTTATTCGAGATCTTGCAATTTCTCGCAATGGCGATTTATTCATGTCCTGTTTTGACACGCGCTGTATAAAACGACTGCGTCTGAATGGAACTCTTGAAACGTTCTTCAATGCATCTCCACTGCATCCACAAGGAATACACATGAGTAGAAGTGGCGTCTTGTTGGCTTGTCTAGTAGACTCTCCCAGCACAGATGGAAGACAGATTCGGCCTTACAGCAAACGTCAGCTAGTGAAGATCACTAAATCAGGAAGGATCATGAAGAGGTTGGCTTTCAGCATTGACATACGTCTGTTTACTTCCCCACTGAAGGTCGCCGAAACTGTCGAGGAGGAAATCTGCGTCATCGACAAAACCGCTAAAGACAGAGGCCGGGTCATCGTCTTCACCCGAAACGAACAGGTCAAGTTTATTTATACCGGTCCAGTCGGACTGAAGATGGAGTACATGTTCTGCCCAACTGACCTGACCTGTGATATTTACGGACACGTTATCGTGACTGACGCCAACAATAACGCTATCCATATGATTGACAAACATGGACAGGTACTGAGGGTCCATCAGATCGGGAGGGACTGGATTGACGTCCCCCACTCTGTGGTGGTGGACAACAAAGGACTGATGATCGTGGGAGACTCTGCTGGTATGGCACACGTCATTAGGTACCTTAAGTAACTCCAAGGTCAAAACTAATATCCATTTCACGCAGCAGTTAGTATATCTATGTTATTTTACAACCTATGGATGTTTGGCTACGACAGGTCAATAATCAATTCACACACTGAAAAACTGCACATGCAACATTTCTGCTTTGATGTGATTTCACGAGGTTTTCAGATTATGTAACTTGTAATATATATGTTTTTTCATGTAAATAAACCTGATAAATGACTTTTTAAACTTGTTTTTATTCAAAATAGTTTATGAGATTGATCAAATCCATTCGATCTTTTATGATGACATGTTTGAGAACACTTTGAGGACAAATCATTGGTGGAACAAAATGTAGCGTTACAGGAAATGTACACTGCATTCTGATTGGACGGGAAGACGAACGCATTGAATAAGAAACGCGTCTCGTGCGTTCCTTGAGAAACGATCTGTGTACTTGGATCAACAGAACACCTGAAAAATAAAAAAAGTTATTTCATTTATTAATTATTATTCTTTTTTTTTTTTTTTACAAATAACCCGTATTGAAAATAATCATTCACTGATTTGCGCGTAGCTAGAGCCTCATTTGATGTGGACGTCTCGATGGGCGTGGTTTTGGGACCACCTCATCCTTTATCTCCCCGGACGGATTTAGAACGAAGTCGGGAACTGGAGGGGAGCATAGGACAACATTTTAAAATTTTTAATCACGTGGAATTTATGTTCATCATGTATAAAACAGAAAAAAAAATTAATGAAATACTAGTATGAAGGCAATGAACAGTAATCTTAATGAAGTCTGGCTACAAAACAATGTAAAGAATGAGCAGACGAAACACGGACCTCTAAAAACAAAGGTGGGACAAGGTGCCATGAAGGAGTGAATTTCACCTTATCCCCGAACAACCGTCCCCATTCCCCCACCTTGTGCCCTTTGTCAAGATCTGGCAAAAGGATATACTATATAAAACTGCGTTACCCATTCTTGATAATGACGTATGTGTTTTGCTGTGTTGAAACTGCTTCTGGCATTGTCTTGCATGTGTCGAGTCGCATTTTCGTTCCATAATCGTCATTGTTCAGGGAAACTTTCACGAAAATATTTTCACCAATATTTGCTGCTATAGGATTTCCCTAGTAAAAAAAAGAACCCTTTAGATTGTGTATCTTATTTCAATTTGAGAGACTTTTTTATAGTTTGATAGACATATTGTTCAATTAACGCTAATAAAATTGGTTCTTCATTTTTTCTTTTTTGTCATAAGTACTTTTTTCTCAGATTCGTAAATGAAAAAAAAAATGCTAAAGATTTACATAATTGATAAATTCATACTTTGATCTCGTGGAAGTACTGTGGATCGGTGAAGAATTGTAGCTTTATGTCGTAGTGACCCGTACCCCCTACTTCGTGATGCAGTGTCGTTTGTGTCACTGGGGCTTCTGTTGGCTTGTAATGCTGAGTAACATGTTCGTAACGGTCAAGGTCACAGCTGACATCAACTCGCCAACGGTAACCATGAACAATCAGAGGAAATGGTGTGGCGGATTCTGGGTACACCAGCTGATTTTTATATGTCACAAACTGGTCTGAAATCTTATAATCAGCAATGAAGAAATTCAATCCCATGCAAGATTTAAAATATTTTAAGAATGATTTATTCTGGGAGAAGAGATAAAAGTATATTTGTTTAAAAGACATCAAACAGCACTACCGTTTTCGAAGTTGAACAGTTGTTGTACGACTGATCGAACACGATTGTATCATCGACCACGTGACCATAACAAGACTGTTTCGAAAGATAAATCTGGGAAACTCCGGAGTCAGGGTATAACATGCGTAATAAAGTCATGTTGACCACAATACGCCATGATTTGGTATCACAGTTGACTGCTATGACATCCTCCAAAGTAAGAGCTGAGGAGAAATTTGTATCTTTTAATATTTTTTGACCAAATAGATTTTTTAAAATAGATTTTTAATAATTTCATAGTCATTAAATCTGGAGCTATTAGAGTGGAAAACGATAAATAAAAAGAAACATTTTTTGATTTTTTTTTTATTAAGGTTAAAATCAAGAGAAATTTATTAAAGTTTTTTTATACCCCAATTAAACCGCTCTAATCTATGCTATGAATTCTATACGTACGGCTCCATTTTAGGCTGAACCCACGATGGCTTTGACTGCCAGCTTCGGACCTGAAGCGAATCAGGAATTTCTTTCCCGCTAAAATTAAACGGTCAATACGTCCGCCAGAAAACTCGGCAAGCGTAGGGCCACCTGGACCTTCCGTTATCTAAAAGCAACACAGCCAATAGGTCGATACAAATAAAATTCTAACACACATCCCACTAATGCCCCTTCCTCTGCACGAAAGAGATAGAAAAAATAAACTTACAAAAAGATAAATTAATAAAAGCAATACTTTTAAGATATGTGTGAAGTTTCCACCAAATATTTGCATTTAATTCAGTTCTTTTTCACTACCACCAAAGTACATAAATTATGACTGAAGAAAATACGGGATCGTACTTGTATGGAATCTCCAGTTTTATTTATATCTAGGTCACTGATGGTCAGTTTATAAATATGGTGGGTGGAGTTAGGGGGAGTGATGGCGTAGAGACAATCGGACTGCTGGTAACCCTGCGGATACCCCGTGGAAGACAAATTCCCACGAGCTGTGATGTAGGAATTGGTGCATGCTGTAGCAGACAAAGATTTACTTAGCATTAAGAGAAAATATTAACAAGTAATATTTTTGATAATTTTCTTGCTAAAATTGTCTTCTTGCATGTACGTGTATTTTGGTGTTGAGAAATCGAGGTCATATTTACCAATTACATTTAATTTATAACACGATTCTGATATGCCGTATTTGAAAAGCACGAAAAAGTAGCAAACCAAAACACTGCACATGTACTCCAACGTTCGAGCATCCACCAGAAGACAAATAAGCACACTGCTGAATATGCTCCTCCCATCCATCGCACTGAAGGTCTATTACCTTGACGACACCATGGTTACCGGTGGGATGGGCGGGTCCAGAAAGTAAACGAGCATAAGTGTTTCTAAATGAAAGTTTGAAAAAGAAAATCGATGTTTGGAAGAGGTAAGCATTCAGTTTACTTGCAAAGGGATCTATCCTAAATATATACATGTGATTTACTTGAAACCCATCATGCTGCACAACACACGGGCCTCCTCTTCCGAGAGATCAGACGAGCAAATTTCTCCCCATGCTCCATCCTTGAAGACCTGCACTCTACCTGAAAAATTCTGGGCAGGTTCGACGAACCGAACCTTTATTCCATCTGAAAAAAGACCATCATTGAATTATCATTTGATAAATATAAATAATGAAAATGCTATAAATGCAAAGTAACCAACCCGTGCAATCTATGCCAATAGATTTTCGCAGACATTTCTCCTTTTGTAAATCAGCTTTACAATATCCAATATCCGATTCATTTCCGAAACATTCCAGTGAGTTTACAAGCACAGCTCCTGTTCCTTGTGATGAGTTGTAAAATGAAAAATCACCTGACCTTTAAAAAAAACCCAACTAGTTTTACATGGTAATTAAAAAATGATAGCAAGAGAATTTCAAATTTACAAAATAAAGTAATAATTATTCATTACAAATTACTTTTTTCTTTCATGCGTATTTACAAATTGTTAAACATGGGTAAGTATTTGTAAACAGTATTTATGACATAAAAAAAAAAAGAAAATTATATCATTAACAGCTATTGATTATTTAAAAATGCAAGCAATGTTTAATTTTAGGACACATGATAAATAAATGAATCGCTGATATCCATTTCTTTTAATTAGAATATAACGAATATCACCTTAAAATATGAATACCTGTAGTGCAGCATCTTACAGACGACATCTGTGTTGTTTTGGTTCCAGTTGTCTTGACAGAAAGATCCCCACTGACCATTGTAGAATACTTCTAACCGACCCATTCCTGAATTTTCACCGTCAGATAACCGCACATTGTGATACCCTGTAGATTAAAGGATGAATGAAAGACAGGGGATGCTCATTCCTCCATTGCAGCTGATCTCCCAACTGATGTTTTAGAGATCTGTGTTTGCTCTGCTTCTGACTTATATTGTTTAAGGACTTCTGAGACTGAATACTGTTAGTTATCTCCATATTTTACGCGTGAAATCCATTTTGTGTTATGTATTTATATCCAGAGAGAGAGAATGTTAAAAACTGCACTTGGCTATTTGAGACAGCTGTTGAACTAGGGCAGCTATAGACTGAAATTGTGCCCACTGCAAACAAACAAGTGAAATATGTGCAAGCTTAAGGGAGGAAATTGTTGATTTGATATGTATTGATTACCTATAGCTGTTGGTGTACACCCGACACCAGCATCATCACTATGGGAACAAGACTGGTTGCCCCACTCTTTCCTCAATTTACAGAAAGCTATGTTGGACTCAGACCCAGTGCAAAGCGGCTCAATATCCAACGAAGTACCATTGACTTGTCCAAACCATGCGTCAACATAGAGAGATGGTGACGAACTCCTAAATGAAAACCACCGCAAATTAGTTTTTAGCTTCATGCATTTCCACTGACAACTAAGAGAAGAATTGCAAAACAGGAAGAACCTTTACCAGTAACCTAGTGATCGACAGACAACACGAGCCCCCTCTGTATTCCAGGAATGGTCACATATACTGTGCCATTGTGTACCCTCCACAAGACTTACAGTCCCCGTGTCTGGTGAGGAGGAGCTCCCCGTTAAAACTACGTGGTTGTTGACTAAAAGCAAAGATTATGCAATAAATTTATCAGTAACTTGTGGAAGAGGCAAAAGCATAATGGTAACAGTATAATTCTTTATTATTCTTAAATCTTCAGTAAGGCATGGCATTTCGGCGCTACATAATAAAACGTCTCTCCAAAAGTGACCTGGATTTACACTGGTTGCTATCTCATCAATATTCATAACGAAGCGCAAATGCAGTACAGAAAACAAAACACAGAATTTTAAAGAGTTTGATTATTTCTTTCTGCGTGTTGTTTAGGTTGAAAAAAGTAAGCACGAGTAAAAGATCGTATTTCATTGACATTATTATCAAAGTTTCTCTTGATTAGTAATAAACAATACCTAGCAGGTATAAATTTCAATGGTCATCAAACATTTCCTAATATGTATGTTGCATACAGTGTCAAGCTCGTGGCAAAATGACTGACCCACATACTTGTGTAAAGTACTCTACAAGTGATTTGTGTAAAAGATGTACCTGAACAAGACACTCCCGCGTCCCGAGAGTGATCACAGTTAACTCCCCCTGTCAGGTCTGCCGGACAGGAGAGGAGACTGACCTCTGACCCATTACATTTGACCTTCGACATAGCTACTCTTCCAGTTCCTCTTCCGAAGAAAGCATTCGCGAAGGCAGTCCCATTTACTTGTCTGAAGATATTCAGTGTAAGATAAATATTCAGGTCTAAAAAATATAAATACTAATGATTGAGAAGACAGTCTCATAGCGAAGCACAAAAAAGGTGACTTGAATGACAAAATTAACTGAACAGGGCACGGCGCGGGCCCATATCATAGTTCAGAACAAGCTGGGTTTAGAAAACGAAAGTTAATTACAAACTAAATATTATCCTTGAGGTACGCTTTACAAGAGATAAATAAGCATCCTGTTTTGCGAAATATCTATTACGTCATCCTAAACGAGAAAGTCCTTGACCATGGTATCCCAAATAAGAAGATCCTTACACTTCATGGTATCCCAAACAAGAACATTCTTTCACATCCTGAACAAAATCTTTCCACACCATGGCATCCTAAACAAGAAAATCTTTTCACACCATGTTATCCTAAACAAGAAAATCCTTTCACACAATTGTATCCTAAACAAGTAAATCTTCACACCATGACATCCTTAACAAGAAGATCTTTCCACACCATGTTATCCTAAACAACAAAATCCTTTCACACAATTGTATCCTAAACAAGTAAATCCTTTCACACCATGACATCCTCAACAAGAAGATCTTTCCACACCATGGCATCCTAAACAAAAAAATCCTTTCACACCATTGTATCCTAAACAAGAACATTCTTTCACACCATGACATCCTTAACAAGAAGATCTTTCCACATCATGGCATCCTAAACAAAAAAAGCCTTCCACACCATTGTATCCTAAACAAGTAAATCCTTTCACACCATGACATCCTTAACAAGATTTTTAAAGATTTTTCTATATATTCCACACCATGTTATCCTAAACAAACTTGAAAATCCTTTCACACAATTGTATCCTAAACAAGTAAATCCTTTCACACCATGACATCCTCAACAAGAAGATCTTTCCACACCATGTTATCCTTAACAAGAAAATCCTTTCACACAATTGTATCCTAAACAAGTAAATCCTTTCACACCATGACATCCTTAACAAGAAGATCTTTCCACATCATGGCATCCTAAACAAAAAAAACCTTCCACACCATTGTATCCTAAACAAGTAAATCCTTTCACACCATGACATCCTTAACAAGAAGATCTTTCCACACCATGGCATCCTAAACAAAAAAATCCTTTCACACCATTGTATCCTAAACAAGAAAATCCTTTCACACCATGACATCCTAAACAAGAAGATCTTTCCACACCATGGCATCCTAAACAAGAAAAGCCTTTCATACCATGACATCCAAAACAAGATTCTTCCACACCACGGCATCCTAAAAAGCAGAGCCCTATACACCATGGAATCACAAACACGAGTATCTTCACTCATCATGGCATTTCAAACAAGAAGATCCTTCTACACCATGGAATCCAAAAGAAGGGAATCCCTCTACACCATAGCATCCGAAACAAGACTATCCTTGACCAGTGCATCCCAAACACGAAGAGTTTCACGCATCATGTCATTCCAAGCAAAAAGATCCCTCAACACCATGACATCCTAAACAAGATGATCCTTCTACACAATGGCATCCCAAAACAAGAAAATCCTTACACATCATGACATCCAAAACAATAAGATTCTGACATTGAAAGCAAACGAGTGTTATTACTTTCCTACTTAAATAATGATTCAAAGAACTGGGAGGTGTCAAACATAAAGATTACACAAAACTTGGACACCTTTCAGACAAGTATCACAGAACACTGAAGACATTCTGGCTAAATATATTCACAAAATAAGCAATAGAATTCGGATTAACTTTGATTTCTCAATTTGCATGCTTGAAATATGAAGAACATTTTTTTTAAATGAGAAAGCCATTATCTATTCTAATTGTTGTTTTAAGATAAGTATTCTAAGTTGTTTTTTTGTTACTTGTCAATGGGATAATCCGTCAGCATTCGACAAACTGATGTGGCGTCCTTATCATCCCACTCGTCATCACAAACTGTATCCACTGGCCTTGAACTTTGACCTCGACTCGACCCTCGAGTGGGTGTGACCCACCACGCAGCCTTACATCCTGTGTATCTTTATTTTTTAATAGATTGTGTATTGTAGAAGTCTTAAATCTAGGAAATCATAATCAATTTACTACAGTGTAGCTTTCTATGTGATAATTGCAAAAATAACTTACGACATCGGATGCCAACACCGACTGAGGATAAACATCCCCGAGACAGGGCACACCCGCCAATGTCTGAGAGATCATCACGACAATGTAGAATACTGATCATCTGACGACTTGATCCAGTTCCGTAAAAGTTATCTGGTTTGATGTCAGCAACAACATCGCTAGAAATAAAGCAATCGGAAAGATATAATTCAGGTTCGGAAAGTAAAAGCAATCAGGCATTAACATTGAAAAATATTACAATACTGTAAACGCTCTGCTAGATACTAGTACAATAGATCCTTTCAATATACTACGTTAGCGAAAAGAATCATTTCATCATATAATTTTGCATGTATGTGTACCCGTCTGTTTCATGGTTCGAAGATAAATTTTTGAAAGTTGAGATTATATTTCACTGAAACTTGAAATAGGTAGTCTTTTTTATACGATCGAAAGTTCAATTTTTAAATTATGAATTGCAAGCGAATTCGATAAACGATTCGGACAATAATCCGAGATTTATCCGACTCTTATCCCTGCTTTTTATATTGTGACTTGTGCATGGGAGAGTCAGAGCGGAGGCCATACTGAAAAGTGGGAATTCAGCGACAACAGCTGGTGTCACGACTCTGCCTACCTTTTACAACTTTATTTCGCGGAGCTAACGCCCGAGATGCGAGAAATCAGTAAAGATATGATTCTTCTACAACTTCATCATTCGTCATTAAAAGGATGCTACCGCCATTTAAACGGCCCTATCACCGACAAATGAAGCATCACTTGAATTAGGTCGCATCTTTGCTCATGACGTCAGTACACAAATACTCAAAATTCCAATCGATTTCAAAGTAACACGTGCTCAAAACATATATTTGCTGACTAGGTCATTGTATCGACCATAAAACTTACAAAGAGAAGACTTTAAACGAAATTGCTAATATTCTTGCTTTTATCAACTTGTTTATCAATAACTCAACTCGTTTTAGAAATTATTAATACCTAAAGCATGCTCCTGCATATCGAGTCAACCGTGAGATATAAACCCCGTATACAGGTGATATATTAATGCATCAGTGAAATTGATGATTGAAAAGTTAGTCATCTATCATAAAGCTTTGTTGTTAGATAACTATTAACGTTTTTTCTAGTAAATAATCCAAATATGTAAACAAAATATATAAACAGTATTTTATAGCGTATATTACTTTAATACCTAAAGCATGCTCCTGTAAGATATAAACCCCTACAGGTGATATATTAATCATGTGGTATCTTTTATCTCAAGCTCACCGGGATATATCGTATCGACATAAGAATGGAAATACCCATTGTTAACAGACAATAAGTCGTCGATATATTAGGGTTTATCTTATAAGGATAAACCAAGTTATTTAGTGCAGTAATTGCTTGTGCATAATTTTCTAATTGGCAAAGGACAGTAACTCTTATTATTAAGTCAATTGTTGTTTCCCTGTCGCGTTCCCCTTTTTTCTATGTCATGATCATGCGCAAACATGTCTTTTATTTGGTGAGCATGCGCGTTCAACTCTTCCTTTTTCTTCATCAACCCTCTGAGCAAAGGACACGAAATTTTCGTGTCCGACAAAATTCGTTTAAAATCGACATCCATCTTTGGCATCGGTTAAAAAATTAGAAAGATGTTGCGAGCTTCCAGAAATTCAAAGTCCAAGAGTCCATATGCCCGTCCTAGCGTCCAAGCTGCGGCAGCCATTTCCACTGGTTAGGACCACGCCACGACCCTAGGCGGCCATTACACTGACTAGGCCTAATGGTACCACATCCACGGCAATCATTCCGACGGCGACGCTACCTCAAGTTTCTAGCATGCAAGACTCTGTGGTATCTTTTATCTCAAGCTCACCGGGATATATCGTATCGACATAAGAATGGAAATACCCATTGTTAATAGACAATACGTCGTCGATATATCTAAACGTCGAGTTGAAGGCAACAAGTGTTTTCTTCTTTTCACACATAAGATTTTGGAAAAATTCTGCTTCATATGAATACAAAAATAGGTCTGCTTATAACAGGGTGCATTTGGTACCCATGGGAATTCCAATAGATCGTTTGAATTCCTGGTCTTAAAAACCTCATACAATGTAGATATTGTCAATCAGAAACTCGAGCATCTTTTTGATGTCAACTTCATAGTAATTGTGTTTTATTTTCTGTGAAACTGATAATTTTAAATTAAACAGTTCTCAAAACTTTTCAAATGCCCCTCGTATTATAAATATTTGTTGTTAGGTTACCACTAACACCTTTTTCTAGTAGTATTTCCAAGTAGGAAATACAAGTGTCAAACTCTGTTATCTTAAATATCAAGCTTACTGGGATATGTGTCTACACTGAACGGAAACAACTATTGTTAGTTGATAATACGTCGTTGATTTATCAAATGTCGTGTTAAAAACCACACCAAGGGTATTCTTTATCTCATGTATAAGATTTTGAATAAATTATGCTTTATATGAATACAAAAATAAGTCTGCTTATAAAGGGAAGCAATTGGTACCCATGAGAATTCCAACAAACTGCTGGAACACCTGCACAATCGGAATGTTTTATGAGAATAATTTCGCAAATGACCAATGACAAGGTAAGTAAATTTACGAGTTCCATTTTTATTGAAAAAGCAGCTTTCATTGATGTCAAAAAGCCTGGACTTTATTTTATCATAAGGAATGGATGCATAAAGATATAAAAAGTCTTTCATGCTATTGGTTTTTGAAAAGAATTGTGATTTCAAATTTTACAAAAAGTTCCCTGGAATATTTTTAGGTCAGGATTTACACCACTTCTAGAAAACATTGTTTCACAGTACTGCTCAAGTTTCTCCTTCATTGCTATTACAATACAGCTCAACGCACTTTTTAAACTCACATAGTTTTCCGCACAAATTAAGGTCACATTGTTATAATGGCAAAATTGTGTAACGTACCGACAAAATATATTTTAAAAGTGATCTATAACTTAATTTTGATCTTATTCCATTACTTCAAATATAATTCACATATAATAATTGAAAGGATTTTTATATGCTCTTGGATGATAGATTATGACAGTTCCCGAATGGTTTTTCATGGTTTCTCATCAAATGCAGATGTCTTTGTATCCGTTCATTTTAAAGCATACCTTTGCCTTGCCTAAATACAGAAACAGTGCAGTTTATGTAACGTTTGTATTTTCTGTACATTAATATGACACTAAGGCGCAAGATGATGGAAGTATTTCTCATTTGTTCGACTGCTTTCCATGTTAAAAAGATGGCATTTTCAAGTTCACTTTCTGAAATCTAGCATCATGAAAGAAAACTTCCAACGCAAAATTTCAAAGATTCAGACCATAAATGTAAAAGCTTTTTTTCAATAATAACAATTTACTTTGTTGAAAGATAATCGATACATTATTATCCTATCCTTGTAATCTTTATGCAGTTTTGTCATTTTTCGGCGCTGCATTTCGACAAAACTGAGACAAGTATGGAAAATGTGTAAAGTACTTAGAAAAATTCTCATCTGTAAGAAGTCAATTTGAACATTTCAACAAAATAGTATCAAAGAAAGCTCGATTAATTAATTTGTAAATACCTGTGGTAGAATCATACATATGTAACATCATACAATTTATAAACAAATTTCCTTTTAAAACATCGAGGTTTTAAAACTTAAGATAATGATTTTAGAGAATATGCACCTTAACATGAAATATTTAATAATGTAAAGGTTATGTCTCGTACTGAAGCTCGATAATTTTAAGTTTTATTGCAAGAAAAATGTGACTTTAATTTGTGCGAAAAACCATGTGAGTTTAAAAAGTGCGTTGAGCTGTATTTTACAAGGAAGTAAAGAAAGAGGATCGGTAGATCATTTACTGGAACCCGCCATGTACCTTTGTTTGTCAGAATTTTTATGAAGTTTCCGAGATGAAATATATGGAGATAACGAACAGTTTTTAAATGTGGATATTCAAATTCATTTTGGTTGTTAAGAATACAAAAATATTCAAAACTGACATATGATTAATATGATTAAATTTGAAGAATTTTCTTCCTAGAATGGGAGCTATGAGTTTAATTTGGATAACCACCGGTAGAATTAGATAATGCACAACTAACCTGTCGGGAAAACCCATCATTTTGCAGATGATCTTTGCTTTCTGTTGATTAAAGCTGTCTTTACAAACACTTCTCCATGCGCCACCATATTGGACCTCTAGGCGACCCTCCCAAGGTCCGGCTCCTCCTACCAACTGCAAAGGAGTCCCATCTAAAATTAAAATACACATATAATAGATTTAATAAGACTTACTTTAAATCCTTAGCTTGTGTTAAGAAACATTGCTGAAGTCATTGTGCTTGTTTTCTTGCATGACTTTTTCTCCGTTAAAGTGACAATACGGTGCATCTCTTCAAAAACAGACTTGTTAAAATTTTCCTATAGGATTTGGAATTTTTTTCATACTCATAAATGCATACACTTTCAGTAAATTACAAATTTCATAAGTAAATAATTCTGATTATTTCATTAAAATTAATAATTATTTATGGTCCATAAATATATAGATCGCAACGTGTTCGAGGTTCCACATGCCATGCTATTCACGCATGCGTAGAGTTTTCATAAACAAAACAGCATGGAAAGAGGTGGAAGCCCGGTAGGCCTGCTACATTGACAAAGTCGACCAAAACGAAAAACAAAACCGAAAATAGGGCTTGAAATTAAAAAGCAACTTTCCTGACAAAAATTTAGTTGGGAGATTAATGTAATCATTGGATGAAGAAGAAACGGGATCTCGGCGACATTCACGTGGGGCTCGCGAAGGTTCTACCCTACAAGTTTGTTGATACATACTATCATTTCTCGCTCCATGGCTTTCAAAGAAAAAAATCAGTGTAAACTCAACGTAAAAATGTACTTATGACATATAAAAATTGTTGCCATTTGAAGTGCAAATTGTATTGGAACTACAGAAAGATTTTTTGTTTGACATTTTGCCGCGATGACGTATGATTTGGTGGATTTTCCTTTCCTGCACCCCAATACACAAAACGTCAACATTTGTACTTAATCATGTTAAATTTGTCTGAATGCAGACTAATATGTTAACTATTATTAATTTACCGGAGAGTTAAGATATTTTGATTCTCAGAATTGCTTTTACTTAATATACCATTATAATTGTAAACCCTACATCGCATGCACGTGCCATTTTAGAATTCACGTGGTACAAATAAACAGAACTAAGTTGTACGACCCTTGATTTTCCGGCAGATTTTAATTACGTTAATTTTACATGAGAAGAGTATATTTATTTTTTCATATGCTTACTTTAACTTTTTACCTTATTCCTGAATGATATATTGGGTAAATTTGAATGAAAAAGCACACGATTTGCAGCCGTATTGCCGCTTTAAACAGGTCGAGACCACTACCTTATATGGAAGGCAATTTTCAACACGTGACGATGAGTTCGTCACACTCGTTCTCCAATCAAGTGAATGAGTCCCAAAGCATGACAGGCTACTATGTGTTTACGATTCAATGGCGACACGTGGTTTTCGTCGGTCTAATATTCAACTCATCACCGGAAAAGCTGTAGAGCGTCTTGATCACTTTATAAGACCGAAATTGAACGGTTATATTCTAAAGTCATTGCTCCATGCTCACATTTAATATTGGAGTTGTTTTAGATGATTAATAGTTGCTTCGAATACCATACAAACGCTTTGACGTTTGCATGTTCATAAAACACTTTCTGATAATATTGAGCCGTTAAATAATAATTGCACACCTTCTCCTGTTGTCTAAAACCAAGGACCTATATACTACCTGCTAAAACTATGTATATGTATATCGCGCGAAAAAAAAAACTAAATGTTTTATCGACACGATAGCACCTACGTCTCTTTGAACAATGGGGCTAGGCCGATGTATTATAAGTTGATATAAGGCTTCATAAAACAAATTTTGTAAATGTGAGCATAGAAATGAAAGATTATACATCATTTTAAATATTTCTTTCCCAAATCTCAAAAAAGAATCGAAAACAAGTTCCCTAAGGACAATTCAAGTTGCCCTTTATTTTCAACACAGCTGGGTACTTGTAGTAGCCCACAATGCACTGCGGCTCATTCAGCTGTAGGTAAAGTAAACAGATAGCTAATTTACATGCAAATTTATGCTGACGTCAGAAAATCTAGTGGTCTCGACCTGTTAAAAGAATCCAATCAATTTTTATTGACCTACCACATGTTACGCCCACTTCATTCCCCCTGGAACACGGACGTTCCGTGTAAGTAAGGTTGTTACAGGCCCATATCTCTTCTTCCATACCTCGACAGCTCACGTGGGATATCACTTCCGGTCCTTCTCCATGACCAAACAAACCACCATGATGCACCGTTACGTGTCTGGAAATTTAAGGATACATTTCAATTAACAGTTCATTTTACATCGAAAGAATGAAAGACGCCAAAGGTATAGATCCCAAGTAATAAGTACGAACCTGCCTTTGAAACCCAGGCTGCGACATATTACTTTTCCTTCAGAGACAGAGAAGTTTCTTGAGCAAATACTTCCCCATATTCCATTATGTTTCAACTCAATACGACCCTCAGACGCTTTTGTTCCTCCAACTAGTCGAATTTTGTCAGAAACTAAAACGAATTTGTTAATTTGCTTTATCGGTTTCAACTATGAAATCTTTATTGTCATCTACATTATGCTGCTATGTACTTACAAGAAGAGTAACATCCCATTGTCATCTGTTGTCCGCGGGAACAGGATGTGGTATGAAACGTGTCTGAGGTACATATCGCGTCTTGGAAACACCGGTAATCGAATCTATAGTATATGTTGTGTGTGTGGTTTACAAGGCTTCCAAGACGATATCCCCTGAAGAGACAAGGAACATGGAACGATCTAGCTGCAGCTAGGAAAGATCAGTTTAGTTACATGACTATGAAATCAAACCAATTAATGTGGACTATTTTTAAGTAAATCCAACAAATAAATATAATATTTATTTGGTGAGTTTTCAGCAAGTTAAAAAAAATAAGTACACCAAAAATTGCGACATTGTCAATTCAAAAGATCACCTATAAGGAATATACATGAAACACCGTCTTTTAGTATCTTGCAACAAATATCTGGTAAGTACCTCATTTTTTGTGAGGAAACTTGATCTGCAGTACCATAAAAAATTCTTGAGGAAATTGTAATACATGTAAATCATTTTCCAGAAACGTGTCACCTGACCTCAAAAAGAAAAAAAAACGCTTCGTTTCTAAGATGTACGAAAGTCGGATAGCAGGTAATGAATGTTCCAACACCAAACGTGCGAACTAGAACTGAGAGGTACAGGTTCTTCGAACGAGACCTTAAAACTGAGATAC